AGTACAATAGAAGATAATATAGGCAATAAATGAGAGTATTCAAACTAATTTATGCCACTGACACAATAACCCTACACCAGAGTTATCCCCATAACTAGTAGATAAATAAATAGCAATAATCACTTAAGTAGTTAGTTCGTGTCTATAAGGAGAGTTTTTTATTCAGCCCTCCACAGTTTAAATCTGATCATGGTACAGAAAAATACCAAAAAGTTCCTCACTAGTACAAAGAAAGAGTGCCCACGATAAATTTGACCCTCAAAAAATATTGTAATATCATTTTATAAAGTAATTTTTGTGACAGGCCTATATTAAAGGTCCCATATTATGCTATTTTCTGACCTATTTTCCTCATCAAAAACATAGATGGAGTTTGTGTTTTGTTTCATTCACACATGTTTAACACACAAATCCTGCATATTTAGGCTGAGTTCTTCTCTCAAACTGAAAACACTCTGCTCCACCTTGTGATGTCATGCAGTAATACAGGAAGTGCTCCACTGTGTTTTTAAACTCTATACACCTAGAACAATTTGGATAATTTTAGCCCTGGAATTGCCAAGTTCTATTAAACAAAAGGTAAAAGCAGCTGTTAACTTGAAAACTACCCCTTCATGACATCACAAGGTGGAACACAGCATTTTGAGCTTTGGAGATACAGACAGACTAATAATAATGGATTACTCAAACATGTGTGAATGACAAAACACAACTCCAGGTATGTTTTTGATGAGATAAGAGCATTATAACATGGTTTAAAGCTGACAAGAGTCAATTTTGTGTAATTTAGGACCTTTAAACATGAGTCATACAAGTCATTCAACCCTCTACAAACAATTCAGAAAAAGCCTTACATTCTACAAATGATAAACTTTCAGTAAAAGAAAATATCAACTCTCATTTATTGAGCAGTAGGCTGATTACCACGGTTACGAGCCTACTAGACTAGAGCACAGATTGTGATGTCGCCATTGCCATGTTTGTTGTTGATAATTAGCAACCACTATCAGACCTGTTTTAAAAGCTGTGTGTTAAATATCTGGTCATGTGAATTCAGACAGCAGACGGAGGTACACCTACGTAGTTTCTGTTTGGCAGATGGAGCTGTGGTGTCTCCAGTCCTCCATATGCTCCAGAGAACAGGGCGAGTATGGAGTGATAAGCAGCTCGCAAGGACCAGAGAGTAGTCCAAAACTCAAGAGAAAGCACATCTAAAAACCCCAACATTACATATCTGAGTGTGGATGAATCAGAATGGATATTACAGCCTAATGTACACCATAGAGTTTGTTAAAGAGCCCATATTGCGCTATGTTCTGATCTACATATGTTATAATGTGTTTACTCATCACAAACAGACCTGGAGCTGTGTTTGGTTTCATTCACACATGGCTTGAGTGTTTTCCTTCAAACAGGAAACACACGTACTTCATGACTCCACTGTACTTTTAAACTTCATACACCTTCACTAGAATCATATTGGATTATTTCAGCCCTGGAATTGCCCAACACAAGATAAAAGGTCTCTGTTAACTTGAAAATTACCATGACATCACAAGGTGGAACAGAGCATTTTGAGCTTTGGAGATGTAGACACAATGTACATGTAATAATAAAGGATTACTCAAACATGTGTGAATGAAACAAAACACAACTCTTGGTATGTTTTTGATGAGGTAACAACATTATAACATGACTAAAACCTCACAAGAATCCATTTTGTATAATATAAGACCTTTACAACTATGGTGGCACAAATATTTTTTATTTTAATAATTTGCTGTCCAGCCATTTTTGAGCAGTGTAATCTGTTTATGATATTACAAAGAGCAACAAAGTCTAATTTGGTTATGCCCTTGTACAGTCAAGTTTAATGTAGACTATGTGGGGCCAATATAGCCAGCCAAAAATTCAAGAACCATATAAAGTGAAAAATGGGTACTTATTTCATTATCAACCAGTATACTGAAAAAGAAATCACATAAATTGGATGTTTCCTGAATACTAATGGTCCTCATCTATACCAGAGTAAATATAGACCACAGTGGACCACACGGTAATATTGACTATTTTTATTTGCTGACATTTCATGAGTAAATTTGAAGTTTAGGTAATACCTCTTTTCTGTACAGTTTGCCATTTTGCTTTTCACAATATACGCCTCTCTCTCTATCTCTCTCTCTCTGACTCTATCTGCCTCTCTCCATCCCTTCCTCTCTCTCCTCCTTTCTTTGTCTCTCTCTATCTGGCTGTCTCTCTCTCTCTCTCCCTCATTCTCTCTTTCTCACCCTCTTTCTCTCTCACCATTCTCTTTTTCTCATCCCCCTCCCCTCCCCTCCTCCTCTCCTCTCCCCTCTCTCTCCCTTTATTTCTCTCTCTCTCTCTGTTCTGTCTCTCCCTCTCTCTCTCTCTCTCTCTCTCTCTCTCATCCCTTCTTCCTCTCTCTCCTCTTCTCTTTATCTCTTTCTTTTTGTGTCTGTCTCTTCTCTCTTTCTCACTCTGTTGGTCTCTCTCTCTCTCTCTCTCCCTCATTCTCTCTTTCTCACTCTTTCTCTCTCCCCATTCTCTTTTTCTCATCCCCCTCCCCTCCTCTCCTCTCCTCTCCCCTCTCTCTCCCTTTCTTTCTCTCTCTCTCTGTTCTGTCTCTCCCTCTCTCTGTCTCTCTCTCTCATCCCTTCTTCCTCTCTCTCCTCTTTTCTTTATCTCTCTCTCTTTTTGTGTCTGTCTCTTCTCTCTTTCTCACTCTCTCTCTCTCTTTCTCTGTCTCTCTCTCTCATCCCTTCTTCCCCTCTCACCTCCTCTCTTTGTCTCTCCCTCTTTCCCCCATTTTCTCTTTCTCATCCCCCCCACCCTCTCCTTCCCTTTCTCTCTCTCCCTCTCTCCCCCTGCCTCGCTGTCTCCCCCCGCCTCCCTCTCTTCTCTCTCTCCCCTGCCTCTCTCTCGCTCTCTCTCCCTTTCTATGTCTCTCTCTCCCGCCCTACCTCCCTCCCTCTCCCCCTGCCTCTCTCTCTCTGTGACACTGGCCTCTTATTTGAAGGAGAACACTGGGTATATTTAGATGGAGCAGGGGCACATCAAGAGCCCTTTGAGGGTTTAGCGGGCTGTTGTGGGTGGGCACTCTCGTCCCACTCTCCGTTTTATCGCCCTGGCCCATAACCTTTATACAAAATCACCAAACGAGCTCAGTGTTATTGAGCTATCTGAATAACATGTGTTTTTTACGAATTAGTAGTAACATTACACTGCTGCACATTTAAACTTAACATTTAGAGCCAAACCGAAATTAGAGATACATATTAGTATAATGAAAACAATGCAGATTTCAAGATGTAAACTGCTGGAGGTGGTCCTGCTATTCTCATTTGTTCACTTTTCACACCATTTTTGACAAATCTTAACTAATGTTGTCCACCCTGTTTTGCTGCCTTAAAATGCGTATGGCAGGTTAGAATTATTTAAATTTTTTGACTTAATTTGGTTGAATAATACCTCTTGTAAATAAGGATGATACTGAAATTTGGTGTCAGGATTATCATGACTAAAATAATTGCAATTAACGATTATATCACGGCAATTATTAAAGTTGCTGACAGATTAAAAATGTTGTGGGTATGAATAATTATATTTTTATATGATATTATATTTTGAATAGGTTGCATATTTATACAGCTGTTTTATTGTACTTAGTTATAAGTGAAAACAACAATGATTAGAGGCGTGCAAAAATTTCACAATATCGATATATCGTGTCGTTTAATGTGATGATACAATATCAATGTTGTGGGCTGCTGTATCAATATATCGCCAAGAGTATTTTTTTGTATATTTTACTAAATACTTTGTCACAGCGCTACAGTTTTATTGCTTGTTTAGTGGAAGGAAACTCATATATGTGACATTTGACATTTTCACTGTTTGGAAAATTAAAATGTTTGTGTTTCATATGAACTTTGCACAAGAAGTGGTTTAACAACAACTTTTAGTATCACAGTCATGATTTAGCCTTTATTTTTTATTGAACCGTATTGAATTGATTTGAAATATATATCGTATCGAATCAAAAGTGCACCGTATCGTATATGTATCGTATCATGGCCTATGTATCTAGATATGTATCGTATCGGTAACTTCTCAATGATACCCAGCCCTAACAATGATCCCAAAGAAAACATCAAGAATAAGTAGCTTTGTTTGGCATTCTGGCAATAAAATGGCGATTATCTTTGTTGGCGATTTTCACGATAATATAAAATGTTCCACAGACGATTATTGTCTACCCTTCTTATCACGATAAATGATATTATTGTTCATCGCCCCATTCCTACTTGTAAATATAAATCATAGTTTTACACCAATCAAAACATTATTTGTTTAGAAATGTAGAAAAATATTTAGAAAATTAAAGGAACTATAGAGTAATATTTTAGAGATTAGAGAATTCTGTCCAAAAGTTACACACTATTTACGTGTCAGAAACACATTTGTCTGATACTTTTATACATTTTTTGAGAGCTAGGAATAATTTGTATGGATTTAAATTAATGGTTTGTATCAGGTACCCCAGCTATATTAGTCATGAAGTCTATTTACAGAGTTTGTCTTGTTTCCAATATTGTTATATAACCATTGGCCAGTTTTATTATTTTTATTCAAGTTTAGATCACATCACATTTGTCAACTGAAAAATACATTTCTCTCCCACAGTTTCAGTTTTTCATGTTGATTTGTCCAAATTACTGACATAGTTTAGTAAAAGTAATCCCTTTAGTGCGGATTAGGAGCTGGTACAGTGAGAGGCATGTGCTGGGTCAAACAGACATAGGGAGGAGCTGAAAACAGGGCACTTTGTGAATCTGCACAATGTTACGCTCAAGTTTCTCCAAGCTACGCAATTTCACTGTGGGTTTTTAGTGGTACTTTTACATATTTTTACTTGTATATTTGAATTTGATCCCATCCATTAGTAAATTTTGATTTGGTTGTCTTATTTTTCTCTGCAGTTGGCTGAGTATCGACAGAGAAAAGCCCACGCGGACTCTCAGAAGAAACAGAAGAAGAAGAAAAAGAAGCCTGCAGAGGGTGACTCGGAGGGGGACTCTTTGGGGAGGACGGAGGGGGAGTTGAACCGGACACTTGGGGGAGACGAGCCCGCTGTCCAAGTACATGAGGGAGGAGACAGGACCCACCCTCCCACCACAGAGTTCTCCCTCAACAAGACTCTGCGCAGTGGAGAAACGGTCAAACATGATCAGACCTACACCATAGAGGTACACACAATTTATATTATTTAAAATCAAAGTCCTAATTTACTTTGTACAGTTGTTTTATCATTGTGTCAGTGCACAATGCAGTTTGCCCGTATCTAGGCCTGTCACAGTAAATGCCATGTCGACTTATCGCTCAGTATATGAAAGATGGAACAAAAGATTGAACAATCAAACATTTTTGAGGATCAATATTTATTTTAATTTCTTTTAATACTTTTTTTTTTGCTCTAGTGGGAATTTTTTGTTATATTTTGGCAATATCATAAAATTTAAGATGCTGAAGTACAATGTTATAACCTTATTACAAATGTTGCATTTTTTAAATTTATTTATTGCAGCATAACAGTACTGTACATTTAGAATACTTTTTGTGGATAATTCTGCTTCCTGATTTGGTTTTAATATTATCGTTTATAGTCTATTTTTACTTCAGCAATATGTTGAACTTCAAAATTTGTTATGGTGACAGGCCTACCTGCATTTCCCATTCATTAATTGCAATAATCAGGGGCATATTTAAAGGTACTCTGGATTGCCTGTTAGCTTGTCGGTCTCCATGGCGACAAATAATGTTACTGGGCCGGTCCGATCAGTGGAGGAGCAAAGCCACTCGTAGTAAAAATACATGTTTTTCTAGATATTTTTGAGTAATAAAAACACCTTGTTTTAGTTGTCGTGGCAACCTGCCCCTTAGCTGTAGCTGTAACTTTGCAATTTTGAGCAAAACAATGAAAGCTTTTATGAAAAGCTTTTATGCACAAATTCACAAATTCACAAACTAGGGCTGCACAATATGAGAGCAAACTGTGAAAACAACATTACTGTGTTGTAAATGGAGTCTGAATTATATAATAATACATAATAATATCATAGGAAATAAATCTCAGAATAACAACTGAATCTTGAAAATGACAAATCAAGACTTTATGTATTTATTTGATTTATGTTGGCTCAAAGGTTGTTAGTCACAGATACTATGACTACTCACTTGAACAGATAAAAAATGGGACAAAATAGGACAAAGTTGGACCTTCAATCAGAGCTACTATGAGAGCACATGGTACTGTTAGAGAAGCTCAAATTCAAATTGGTACTATATTATCTAAAAAAGATACTATTTTATTATTATTCTGTGGTATCAACATCGGTTTTTGGGTATTAATCTTTTTCAACTGAGTTTGAAGATTTTTTTATCATGACATGTTATATATTGAGTGAATGGCAATTGTTGGGTTTTATCCATAGTCTCTGTATATGAACAAAGCTAATTCGCTAGCCACCGCATTCTAAATGGAAAGTGAACATGGGGATACTTTTGGCTCCATCGACTCTGGCTACAATTGACTTAACACTGAAAAATTGTCACCACTCTCTCTGTAACTGCTGCTGTAACCCTCGTCATTATGGTCTGAAAATGTTCATACAGTATTAACCCACTCTACATGATCCTGATGTTTTTATTTAGCTGTTTTGTCCATAAATAAATTCTTATTTCTAATATGGAACTGACTCTAAACTTCATTTGACTGAACTTACTTATTCAGTTCTTTAAACAGGGTTCCCGCGATGTCTTTAAAAGTCACAGAATTTATTAATTTATAAATAATATTTTAAAAAGATTTGAAAAAGTCTTAAAATTTGTGCAGTACGTAACCTCTCCGTATCACATTTCTCCACAGTAGTTGAATTTGTCAACCATCATTATTTGATTAAATAACGTTGCCTAAATAACGATTGGTGGAACGAATAATTGAAAACTCAAACGCAGCCCCGGGTCAAAATTGTCCGAACATGTCACTGAAGATCACGCGCTACAGCACAAGCAAAAAGCGAAAAATCAGAGAAAATCTCAGCAGAACACAGAGTTTGATTAACGCTGTTATCAAACTCTTAAAAGTCTTAAAAAGACTTGAATTTAACTTGAAGCAACCTGTAGGAACCCTGTTTAAACACTGTATGGGTTTTATAGCGAAAATTCAGATGAAGTTTAAAGACAAATCCAATTACCAGAGACAGATTAGCAATTATTTGAATTGGAATGTTGCCTTGGCTCCAGCATACCTGTGGATGTGAAGTTATGGAGAAAAGTACCCCAGATTTTGGTCTCAGTGGTGAATTTTTGAGGCTATTACTGAGACACACATTGTTCTGAGCTGATGGGGCCCATGTGATCAAAGCTCTCCAAAAACACGTCCTGTGATTTTGAATAGAAGTCTTGATGGAAACTGCTTTGAGTAATAACAGCAAAGAGACGAGTCCGGGCTCGATGGTGCCTGCTCCCCTTTCACACAATGTATTTTTAATTTGAGGGGAGAGCTTGATCTTCACCTAATGCACAGGCTTTGAAACTGTAATTCACTGTCCATTAACGAACAGCGCTTCAGTGGCAGTGAGACTTCTGATGTTTTTAAGTGGTTCTTCTAAAAGGCTATTGTATCATTTGTCAACAGTAGGGGGAGTATGGTGAGTCTGATGAAAACACCAATAACAGCATAATACCTTATCTTGATCATTTCTTTATGGATACCTGGGTTAACCGGAGTCACCAGGGTTAACTAAGGTCATCAACAGTCCCTGCTAACTGAAGGCACTACTCAATCTAAAGCTCTGTTAGTCAAGGTTAGTTAGTCTGATTTTACAGAGCGGTCGTTAGTAAAAACCCGAAAATTCTAATCTTCTGGCTGCAGGTGATCCTAAAGAGGCCGTTACAGACACAGTTTTTGACCCAAAAGTCAGATTTTTAACAAATATTTCACTAAAATGCCAAAATAAGGCCAGGGATAGATATACATTTCTATTTTAGACCAATTTACACAGCTAATGAAAAAAGTAGTTGAAAAAAGTGATTTTGGTGTTCTAATCTGAGTTTTGTTACACAATATGACCATAAGGACTGGTATTAGCTGGAACTACAACAGGTGAACTAATTTGTGCTGTTAAACAAGTCTCTCACACATAAAATTACTGTGAACAGCTAGTTAGAATTAATTAGCAGTTTTTCAGTTAGTCATCCTCACCTTTTTGTTGAAAATCAAACGCCAAAACAGGACCATGTGTTCGTGTTGATCACAGGCTCCTGAAAATGTGCTCTTTAAATTCATTTTGTATTTTTTCTTAAATTTCCAGACTATCTTAAACTTTTTTGGCAGTGTTTGCTAATCTGTGCCTTATGTCACCATGGTGTCTCAGCAAAGGATCAATTGACACACATTTATTTAACAGGGCAGTGGGACCGAATTGGGGGATGGGACCCAGAAGTGGGTCATGGGCTGAGTTTCAACACTGAGTTTATTTAAAGCCATTGAGTGGATTCATTACATGATAATGAGAGACTCAATTTAAAAACACATAACCACACATTGGACCAGACAGTGGCCATATACTTACTCCATGAAATGATTCCCTCTTAAAAATATATAAATAAGGTTCAAAATTACCTTCATATTTTTGATTGTGGAAGTCCTGTGCAACATTAAAACTACATTTTAGCTCGTTTCTCTTTTAAAAAAGTTAAAGTTTTTGCCCCAAGTTTTCTAATTAGCAGGTCTTAACTAATTGTTCTTTTTGCAAAACCTTCAGTATTTCTTTGGGCGGCAGCATCTTATTTTCTCCCTAAAATTACTGTGTCATTTTTTTTATTTAGTTGAAAAATTGTGATGCAGCTCCATGCTTTTCCAAATATAAAAAATAAGGTAAATAATCAAAGTATGTTTTTAAAGAACATTTGCCTCTGAAGAAAAATTGAACTTTCAAAACTAGAGATCGACCAATATATATATTTTTTTTCCATGGCCGATGCCCATACTGATTGCCAGTAAGCTCAGACGATATTTTTGGGCTGATATGTAATACAGATTTTGATTATTTTCATCAAATCATATCATTTAAATGTAGTTAAAAACTCACCCACAGCCATATTTTTTTTTTTTACCATAAAGTCATAAGAGAGCTGTGTATTCACTACCCCGTTTTGCAGAGTCACCGCCGCTCTGCTCTCTCTCCTCCTCCTCCTCCTCTTGTTCACACAGATGTAGCTTGTACTTTTCTCTTCCTCCCTAAACTCACTGTAGCTGATTTCTGATGTGTGCCGCCGCGGCGTTGCCATGGAAACAGACGATTGACTTTAAACAGGTTTGGGGCGCGTTGGGTCCATCCATCCGCACGTCCTCCTGTGGTCCGTCCATCTGAGCGAGCAACACTTTACGTCGACCTCAGGGTTGATTAAATTCATGAATAAGCTTTTCACCTGAAGCACACTTAGGCCTGTCTCCCTCTGTTTTTTACCCTCTGTCACTCACACACTCTTTCATGTCTTTCTTAGATTCTGTTTTACTCTCTCTCCCTCTGTCTCTCTCTACCTCTTTCTCACTCTGCTTCTTTCTCTCTCCCTTCCTCTTTCTCTCTGCCCCCACCCCACATCCACTTCTCTCTCCCTCTCTCTGTCTTTCTTCCTCTTCTGTCTCTCTTTTTCTCTCTCTCTGTCTCTCCCTCTCTCTCTCTCTCTCTGTGTCTCTCTCTGTCTCCCTCTCCCTGTCTCTCCCTTTCTCTCTCTGTCTATCTCCCTCTCTCTGTCTCTATTTGTCTCTCCCTTTCTCTCTCTCTCTCTGTGTGTCTCTCTCTGTCTCTCCCTTTCTCCTGTCTCTGTCTCTTCCTTTCTCTCGCTCTCTGTCTCTCCCTTTCTCTCTCTCTCTGTCTCTCCCTTTCTCTCTGTCTCTTCCTTTCTCTCTCTTGCTATCTCTCCCTTTCTCTCTCTGTCTCTCTCTGTCTTTTCCCTCCTCTCTTTCTCTTTCTCTCTCTCTCTCTCTCTCTCTCTGTCTCTTCTCTCTCTCTCTCTCTCTCTCTCTCTCTCTCTCTATGTCTCTCCATTTCTTTCTCTCTCTGCCTCTCTCTGCCTCTCCCCCCTCTCTCTTTCTCTCTCTGTCTCTCTCCATCTCTCCCTTTCTCTGTCTCTCTCTGCTTCTCTCTCTTTCTCTCTGTTTCCCTTTCTCTTCTCTCTCTGTCTCTCCTTTTCTCTGTCTTTCTCTGTCTCTGCCTCTGTCTTTCGCTCTCTCTCTCTGCCTCTCTCTCCCTCTCTTTCTGTCTCTCTCTGCCTCTCTGTGTGTGTCTCTCTCTCTCTTTCTTTATCTCTATCTCTCTCTCTCTGTTTTGCTCTTTTCTTTCTCTTGTCTGTAAAAGGACTGTGGACCTTTTTCATGAATTTCGCTGGAGAATATTCAGAGAAGTTTTACAAAAGATTTGAAAAAGTCAACTTTTTTTCATAATGCTCAGGACAAATCATATATGAAATAGGTGTCTCAAAAACAAATGGTTGTGGTTTTTGTGATGTTTTTTTTTTCAGTTTTTTGATGATTAACAAAAGAAGATAAATGACTGGGCAAAAGAAACAATTTTCCACAACTTTTAGGTAATTTTATTTAGTCACTTAACAAAAGGTCCTTTTTCAGAATTGAAACTTGTTGAAAAGGAGCATCATCACTAGTTTTAATATCAATTTGTATCTGTGTATCCTTTTTCTTTTTTCTTTTTTTGCTAATGTGAAATATTGCAAAATAAAATGTAGCAGTAAACCTTAAATGCTCTGTATTCGATCCATGTAATTTCTGATATTTGGTGGCTAACTACATCATTTAATTTGTACTACGTAGCCTTGTGTCTTGTTAGTAGTGCAGCATTTTCATTTCCCTTTGTTTTGTTTCCAAATGCTAAAGAAAATCTATAAAAAACACTTATGTTGCTGAATCATACACCTTTTTGTGGTGGACATTCAGTGTTGTGTGCATTTGTCCCACTTCGGTGTTTTTATCTTGAAGTCCTTGAATTTTCCATGATTCATTAGACACAACATTTTATATTGACAACATCCACAGAGTAACAATAAAAATGGCTTTCCTGCTCAGCCTTGAACTCTTGACCCAACAAAATACATTTCACTGATAATGTCATTTCTCTGTGGGGCTGGCAACCTCCAATTTCTATTTTAAAGTGACCGAGTGTCAAGATGGGTTTTATAATGTATTATCAGCAGGGCGTTTTCTATCACTGCTGTTGATTTGGTGATGTAAGGGCCTATTTTATTTAAAAAAAACGAAATAATATATTTGGTAAAAAGAAAAAAATGTATTGCTTTTTGATTATGGAAACATTGATAAAAGGACCATGTAACGCTATTTTCTGATCTATTTTATACTGTTGTTTCCTCATCAAAAACATAGCCAGAGTTGTGTTTGTAGTGTTTGTTTCATGTTTAACACACAAACACTTCACATTTAGGCTGAGTTCTTCTCTCAAACTGAAAACACTCTGTCCCATCTTGTGATGTCATGTGTTGCACTGTGTTTTTAAACTCCATACACCATCACTACAATCATTTGGATGATTTCAGCCTTGGAATTGCCAATGTCTACTAAAATAAAAGTAAAAAGTAGACATTAACTTGAAAACTACCACTACATGTCATCACAAGGTGAAAGAGAGCATTTTGAGCTGACTATTATTAGGAGTGTGCAAAAATATTGAAATATCAATATATCGTAACATTTAATGTGATGATACAGTATCGATATCGTGGGCTGCTGTATCAATATACAAGAGTATTTTTTTGTATATTTTACTAAATTATTTTGTTGCAGTGCTACAGTTTTGTTGCTTGTTTAGTGGAAGGAAACTTGTTTATGAGACACATTTGACATTTTCACTGTTTTTATGATTAAAATGTTTGTGTTTCAAATGAACTTTGCAGAAGAAGTGGTTTAAAAAAGGCTTTTAGTATTGCAGCCATGATTTAGCCATTATTTTTATTGAACCATATCGAATCGATTTGAAATATATTGTATCGAACCGAAAAGTGCACTCGATACATAGGCCGTTATACGAGATATGTATCGTATCGTGGCCAATGTATCGAGGTATTGGCAACTTCTTGATATGATACCCAGCCCTACATATAATGCAAGGTTACTCAAAGCTGAATGAGACAAAACATAGCTCCAGGTATGTTTTTGATTTGGTAATAACATTCTAACATGGCCTAAAGATCACAAGAGTCAATTTTGTGTAATATAGAACCTTTAATAAATGATGCTTGTTATGGCAGTGGACCATTGTATCTTAAATTGTTTTTCTTTTTTGTTACAGCCCGAGAGTGAGGTGTCAACAACGGCAGAAGACTATTCTTCAGAGGTAAAAAAATAAAAATAAATGAATGAATAAAATAAAAAACTTTCAAAATGCACACATCATCATTCTGACATTCAATTTCTTCCAAGAACACAATTTTGAAGATTTCTTGCTGCAAAATGTGCCAAGATTTTTAGCAGCAGAAGCAGAAGCAGAGGAGAAATGACTGCAGCTCACCTCTGACAGTTTTGCTTCTGCTCCAAATCTACTTTTTAGGAGCAGAAGAATTCAGAAAGTCAATATGGCATACATGTTATATATATAGTCTTGTCTTTTTGCAAGTTGGAAGATGAAACTATGTGAAATAAAATGTTTTATCACTCTTACTTAATTACAAATACTGTCCATGTACATTACTTACATACATGTTTCCCCAATTCCTGGCTAGGTAGAATTCAAACATGACAGTAATGCTATTGTACCAGTTCAAAACCTGGATAAATGTAACAACATTTGGCAAAAAGGCAAAAATACTGTGGCAATTATAGTGAACTTAACGTGATTATTCACAGTATAATACAACTACAGTGTCTTAAGCCTACATTTAAATGGCATAACATTTACACTTTGTCAGATTTTCTAACTGAACAGCTTTGGTTATTTTTTACTTTTAGCCTCAAATGAAACAGAAAACACACACCAAAGTCCTTTATAGAGGTGCACACTCAGATGGCTGATGTCCAATGTTTTGGTAAAAAGCCGTCAGATCATTTGTTTTTGTTGCTTTGTACTGTGTACTGTGAGGCATAGCAACAAAAATAAATGATAAAAATAAAGGAAAAAGTTTTGAACATCAGCCGTCTTACTTTCAAACCATTATGACTGATTTCATTCTGATAGCATTATGAATTAACAGGTCAATGGGTGCCACGAGACGACCTTGAGTCTTTCGCTGTCTTCGAAGGAGTTTATTTGGGTACAGTAATCCGCTCTAGCAGCTCGTCCAGCTCTGCTTTTTGGCATCACTCGGGGCTGCCGGTCTTAACTGTTAATAACCTCCTGTGTCATGGGCGTCTGTGCAGTTTCCAGTAACCTACTAACCTATGGGGCTTCTTACATGTGCTCCTGGCTTTAAACAGCTCTGCCTATTGCTGGGTTTCAGATTACATCACAGAACTTTATAGGACAGTATTACTTAATACAGATGGGGGCAGCAAAAGTTAATATTGTTAAAATGCAAAAAAATTTTGTAATACAGTGAATACTTGGGTCAATAATTGAAAATACCAAGTTCAACTAGGGATGTAACGATACCCAAATCTCTCAGTACGATATTTTCTTGATATGCATCTCACTGTATGATATTTATTGCGATGTTCTGTAGTTAACAAAACTGTGAACATGCTACTTTTTCCTCTTAAAATGCCTTGGCAAGACTTAAACCAAAGATTTAAAAGTGCATAGAACAGTTATGTCTTCATGTATTCTGCACTGAAACACAGCAGAGGATCATGGTCTATGTAGTTCCCTCTGTTTTTTAGCTATTGCTGCACCATAACTATTCATCTAAGCGAAGAGACTTAATCTGATATATTGTGATGGTCCATGATATTATTGTGAGACCTTTGACAATACGATATCATGATATTTCCATTATTGTTATTGATTACATCATACTTTCCTGTGAAATATCTAAAAGGTAAATTTACAAATGTTGAGCCTGATCATTTTTATGAGTGACTGGATCCCAGAACTTGACCATATTACAACAGAAATCTACCTATATTCATTTTAGCTGCCGCCTGTTTGTATTAAATGTTATTGACCTATAAAATGCTTTGATGTTATCATGAAACTCAGCTACAGTTCAAGTGTCAGTACTGTCTTTTAAAAATATTTTCATTTAGCAAATAAAGAACATGACTTTATGACATTTATGATGCTGAAAGCTGAACATATTTTTTTCAAGGGAGTCCTGAGTACACAGTTAAAAACATAAAGCATTTACAATTAAAAAATACATAACAAAATGTACATTTAAATATTAGTTGAACCTGTAGTCCACAAGGCATTCAGTTAAAGCAATTGCAACGGTCTGAAAAGAAAACAGATATTGTGTGTTTAAATTCACAGTTTAGTTTTAGTTGGTTTATGAAAGTGCTTGAATTGAAAACACATAATTATTAAGGGAGCATAATAAAGACTTTGAAATATAAAATGGGAAAATAACAGTTTCATTTGTTATTCTGTGAGATGTTGTAAGGTAAAATTGCTATTCAGACAAAGTCGACTCATTCTGCTACAATCAAAGATATCTGTTATAATTTATGAGGTTGAATGCAAGAAAACATATCGATGTGACTAATATTGAAAGAAACAAAATGGGCTCCCGAACCTTTTCACAATATTCAGCATTGTTTAAAATAATTAAGATATTTCATTCAAACTATAATAGCATTAATGCTTGTCTGCTTTTACTTACATTTATTTGTTGTTGACTAACTAAACTCCTAAAAAGAACTACACATTGATTTTAGTTTAGTCTGAAGGGACAATGTACAGACATACACTCACTAAATTTAAACATAAAAATTGCTAATTGCTATCCTAAAATGTCATCTTTAGACTGTTATTCATTGGATTAAATTAGTACATTTTCAAACTTAACTAACACTTTCTACTTTATTCTCAAGACTATGTACTGTCCTCAGCTATGCAACTTTTCTGTTACCTGCTTCATTGAAATGTTACTGCTTTGCCCTGAATGCTCCACAGTATTACATTAATGGTCCCGTATTATGCAAAACTGTGATATTTGAGCTATGTTATAAAGTAACCTGTTAAAGTAACCTTTTATTATTAGTGTGTCTACATCCCCAAAGCTCAAAATGCTCTGTTCTACCTTGTGATGTCGTGAAGCGATTGTTATCAAGTTAAGAGCTACATTTTACCTTTTGTTTAGTAAAGATTGAAGGTGTGATGGTATATGGTGTTTAAAAACACACTGGAGCACTTTCTGTATTGCCACATGACATCACAAGTTGGAACAGAGTGTTTTCTGTTAGAGAGAAGAACTAAATATACAAGGTTACTTTGTGTGTTTAATATGTAAATGAAACAAAACAAAACTCCAGGTATGTTTTTGATGAGAAAACAACATTATAACATATATCAGTATTGCATAGGCCCTTTAATGCCATACTGTGGAGCATTCAAAGCAAAGCAATAACATCTCCATAGAGAGAAGCAGGTGGCATACCCTCAACCAGAAAAGTTACACAGTGCACCTTTAATGTCTGAATGCATCTGCCATCTAACCATTACCACCTTTTCTGTCTCATAATTTTTAATTGCTTTAAAATCCTCATGGTGCTGTTTGCAGGAGGAGGTAGAGTCGATGGAGCGGGTGTCTAGGGGGGGTTCGCTGCAGGAGGTGGAGGAGATTTTGGCAGAGAAGTCCAGAGAGGTGGAGGAGCTGAGCCGAGAGCTGGAGGAGATGAGGAGTGCCTTTGGAGCAGATGGAGTGCAGCAGGTAACTTGTGAGCTTTAGAACATGTTACAACGCTGTTACCTCCTCAAAAACATACCTGGAGTTGTGTTTTGTTTCATTCACTGATGTTTGAGTAATTCTTTATTTTTGGTCTGTCTACATCTCCAAAGCTTAAAATTCTCTGTTCCACCCTGTGATTGTCATGAAGCAGTAGTTTTCAAGTTAACAGCTCCTTTTAGCTTAACTTCAGAAGAGATTGGCAATTCAAGGGCTGAAAACATCCAAATGATTCTTGTGAAGATGTATGAAATTTGAAACACAGTGGACCAATTCCTGTATTACCACATGACATGTCAAGGTATAACAGTGTTTTATGTTTGAGAGAAGAACTCAGCCTAAATATGCAGAGTTTGTGTGTTTAAACATGTGTGAATGAAACAAAACATAATTCCAGGTATGGTTTTGATGCAGAAACAACATTATAACATAGATCAGAAAATATTAAAATATAAGCCCTTTAACACTTAAACAAAACCCCTTTTGATTGTAGCAGATTTGATTGTGTTCTACATCTAGATTTCTACTTTTTCACTAAACAAAATTTTTTTTCATCTAACTCCTATCACTTATGAAAGGACAATCCACATTTCTTGGCAAACTAGATTATTTAGTTTTTCGAAATTCTTCACTGTTTTCTCTGTAGCAAATTGCACCTTGCACTTTAACATTCATTTGCATGCAATTATTTAAATCACATTTCACGCTGCTCTAAATGACTGCTGTATTTAGACTTATAGTCTCAATAACTGACTCAGACTGTATCATTTTTCTGGCTCTCAACTGACACAGATCCTGCCTTTCTTTTCTGAAACTAAGGAAAACCATTCTGAAAAGGTTCACAATGCACCTGGTGAGGGGTTCGCCTTTGCCTTGTCCTCTTGGGGATTTTTTTCTGGTCTGGAAAGTGCCACAGTATAACTTTAAACCTACCTAGTGATAATTTCATAATGGGTGTTTTTAGCGCTCAAAAACGCCTTAAACAACATGCATTCCATCTCTGACTGGGCCATCCTCTCCACAGATCTGACCTGTAATTTGCCTGTTGGCGTCACATGCTTGCCTCTGTGGAGATGGATGTGTTTAATGTTATACTGTAGAATATTCCAGGCAAGGCAATTCCATGGAGACATTTAGATAACTGATCCTTTGTATGGGCTCTGGTATATACAGTATTCTTTTTTATAAATCTCCTCACTAACACGTGCTTCATACATTTCTCACTGAGTTGCAGCAGTAAAGTACAGATCATATTTTCAGATACACCTTGAACTATTGTTATGGTCCTCTAAGGCTTATAGGACTATTGCATAACTTTCCTTTCATTCGCACTGTTCCCTCAGCTCCAGGACTTTGAGGCAGCCTTGAAACAGCGCGACGGCATCATCACTCAGCTGACAGCCAACCTGCAGCAGGCGCGAGAAGAGAAGGACGAGATCATGAAGGAGTTTCTGGAGCTGACGGAGCAGAGCCAGAAACTACAAATTCAGTTTCAACAGGTTTGGGAATCATATTTTCTGGGAGCCAATTATTTATATGCAAAATGGTGAGGGTTTAAGTATATGCAAGGAAATAGTACATGTTAAATCCAAATATAGTCACATTTAGTGGTTTTCTATCTCCAAGGCACTCAAAGCTCTTTACATCAAGGAACCACCCACTTAGTTACAAACACATACACCAGTGTATGCAGACACTGGGGTGAGGCGCGTTGTGTGTCTTGCCCAAAGACACAATGGCAGTATTCATATGTGTCATCTAGCTGTAGCTTTGATTCAAGTTTATTCAAGTAAACAGCACAAATATACAGTATAGTATTACGGGATACTTAAATACAGCACATATAAACACAGTAGTAGTAGTAATAGCATTACAAAAACAATACTCCATGATCATTGGTAGAATTAAACAGTGGTGGATGAAGTACTCAATTTTGTTACTTAAGTAAAAGTACAGATAAAGGTTAAAGGCAAAAAGTTAAGTAAAAGTATGACATAAAAAAAAACATTAAAAGGAAAAGTATTTTGCAAAGAATTTTAGAAATATTTAGAACAATAAAGAATTTAGGGGTGTCAAATTATCGCGTTAATTGCGATTAATTAATTACAGTCATATTTAGCGCGTTATGTTTTTTAATCGCGTTAATCTCATTTTTAATCTCTAACTTTACTGTTTCTGTATGTGAGTTTCTTTATTATAAAACCTGTTTTTATGTGTTGTTTGGACAACAACACACACACACAAAACACATTTATAAATTTTTTTATTTCGGTAATTCCACTCATTGCCGGAAAGCCACACAAAACGCGCGCAGTAACAGCGATGTAAACGTCATGTTAACGTTGGCGGCGTCAGTCGCACAATGGACGAGGTCGAAGAGCCAGTAGAACAGAGGCAGCAGCGCACAGGTAAAAACACATTCGTGTCTTGGAAATTATTCTCCCGACGTGAAATATAAAAGAAAATAACAAATATAAAATCGCCTGAAAACAACCTGCATAGACTCATGATGTCTGCACTACTGTCCTATAGTGACCTGCCACATGAGGGGACACGCACACAAACAAACACAAACACACACAAACAAACACACACCTTCATCATCGTCATTACCCTGAGAACGCGCGGACCACGTTTCCTTCCGTAGACACTGCGCGGACATCGCTGTCCTCCCGTGAGCCGCGTGTGGATCGTGTTTTCTCGCGTACGCGGCGTAAACCGCGCTTCCTCCTGTGCGCCTCTAAACCAGAACTAACACCAAGACTAAAACCAGGACTAAACCCAGTCTAAACCCGGTCTAAACCAGGACTAAACCAGGACTAAACCAGGAACTAAAACCAGAACTAAAACCAGAACTAAAACCAGAACTTAAACCAGGACTAAACCAGAACTAAAACCAGAACTAAAACCAGGTCTAAACCAGGACTAAACCAGGACTAAAACCAGTGATCTCATATATAAAGCATTTCTCTATCAATAATATTTTTAATATGGTTAAGGAAAGACTGGACTTTTTATTGTCTTTAAGTACACAAAGGTTATTATGTTCAGATTTCCTCATCTTTGCTACTTTACAACAAACAGTTTCTTATTCATGGAGACTTGGGCTCAACAGCCAAATTGGAGAGATTTGTTAAACAATAAATGACTTTATAAAGTCACTTTTTTAAATCTATATTAGTCTTTTGATCTGCCACAATAATGTAATAATGAATTTAAATGAAAATACCTCAAATTGAAGGCTTTTCTCAGCAATTTTTAGGTGAGATTAAAATGAGATTAATTAGATTAATTAATTACAGATCATAATTAATTAATCTCTAAATTTTTTTAATCACATGACAGCACTAAAAGAATTTAGCTGATTTTAAATGATTAAATTGATTTCTTAATTTTTCTAGCCATCTTTGTTTCCTCAAAGTTGGGATGGAAACTCAAATGTGCTAAAAATCTCAGCCTTTTCAGCAGGTGACAAACCATAAAGAAAAGTAATTTTTCATTTCAGTCCAGATCTAAAATGTAGTGGAGTAGAAAGATACGCATACACAACTTCCTTACCTTACCTGCCACCACCTCATCTTTACCGTCCACCACTGAATATGGCTACATGAAGTCCTATTCATGGGTATTAGAGAGATGAAAATTTTGCACCGTTGCCATAGCAATAAATTGGTGAAAACCAAATTCTATCTTTACATGTTTTTTTAATGGTCAAAAATTATGCTTCACTGTTATTCACTTTGTTAAAACTGATAGTAACTCTAAAGAAAATCACTACAGTTTTTTGTTATGTTTATCTCAATGTGTTTATTGTATTTCCCCACAGCTCCAGGCAGGAGAGAGTCTAAGGAACAGCAGCCACAGCAGCACAGCGGCTGATCTCCTTCAGGCCAGACAACAGCTCCTCCAGCTCCAACAACAGCTCCAAGAACAGGCCCAGGAGAGGGAGAGGGAGAAGGAGTTGGAGAGGGAGAAGGAGTTGGAGAGGGAGAGGGAGAAGGAGAGGGAGAAGGAGAGGGAGAGGGAGAGGGAGAGGGAGAAGGAGAGGAGAAGGAGAGGGAGAGGGAGAGGGAGGAGATGGAGAAGGAGAGGAAGAAAGAGAGGGAGAAGGAAAAAGAGAGGGAGAATGAGAGAGAGACGGAGAGAGAGGAGACAGAGACCATCACCCGTCTGCAGGAGAGGATCAATGACATGGCTATGGTGAGGAAAATGAAAGAACTAATCATTTTTGCATGTTTTTTACTGTCTACCGTCACAAAATATCAAATAATCCTACTTATCTGTCTAGTCCACTAATTATTGGAGTACTGTTTGTTATGGCTTCTTTCTACATACAATAAACCTAGAAAACAAAGTCAGCTGCCAATAATTTTGCAAATCACTGCTAGATTAAGACTCATACTCATTGCCTTTTTCAAAACTTCAATTAGAATATGGTTTTCATTTGCCTCATTGTGTTTGTATACTTGGTGACAGATTTTTTTCTCTGTAATTGCAGTCAATGGCTTTTAACATAGGGCAATAACAAAAGGGGTGGGTTAATATAAGTTTTTCTTCTTCCCACTCCTTTTCGAGAAATGTGCTTTTCTGTTGTTTACAATGAATATGTAGTATACATGATTATTGTTTCTCTCTTGGAACAAACTCTAAATAAAAATGAATCAATCAAAACATGTCATGATTTAAAAAATTAAATGAGTTCTGGGTTTACTGTGGTGAATGCAATTGATAAAATATGTACATACATGTAAAGATATGTAACTATTTGCCTACAGCTGTTTAAAGCTACATGCAGTCAGTCTAGTCTTTATATTGGCTACTACAGCAAATAAGAGAAATCAGTGTTCTTACTGTTGTGGGTAAAAACAGGTTCTATATTACACAAAATTGACTCTTGTGAGTTTTAAGCCAGGTTAGAATGTAATTTCCTCTTTTAAAACATACAAAATATACCTGGAGTTGTGTTTTGTTTCGTTCATCCTTTATTATTGTCTACACTATCTACATCTCCAAAGCTCAAAATGCTCCTTTCCACCTTGTGATGTCATGAATGGGTAGTCGTCAAATTAACAGCTATCTTTTACTTTTAGTTCAGAGGCGGTGGCAATACATTACCTAGAATCATCCAGATGATTGTAGTGAAGGTTAATGGAGTCTGGAACAATACTTGTAGAGTGGAATGTCTTCTTTCAGAGAAGAACTCAGCCTAAATATGCAGGATGTGTTTCTTAAACATGTGTGAATGAAACAAAATAACTCAACCCCAAGTATGTTTGTGATGAGGAAACAATATTTTAACATAAATCAGAAAATAGCATAATATGGGCTATGTATCATAAATAAAAATATAAAATATATATAATTATAGCACACTTGCTTTGCTGTGTTTGCAGGAAAAGAAGAGAGCAGAGGAGTGCCTAAATGAGAAAGACCTGCTGATCGCGGAACAAGAAAAGACTATTTTGAATCAGGAACAATCATTGAAAGAGTTGAGGATGTCCGAGGAATCTTTTGCACAAACTTTGAAAGCGAAAACCCAGTTACTACTTGAAAAAAGTGCAATAATTTCTGAACACGAGCAATCACTGAATCGGCTTCGCGAAGAACTGACGCGGGCTGCAGGTGAACATAATATGCAACTGACAGATGAGAAAGACCAGATCATAGCTGAAAAAGACAGGATCATTACTGAACGAGATTATGCTATCTCTCAGCTGGAACTGGAGGTGGAGTCTTCGCAAAAACGCCTTCATGACCTCAGTCAGCAAATGGCCACAAAGGAGGTGGAGCTAGAGCGATACCTGGAAACCTTGGAAAGCACTAAGTCTGACCTGGAAAGCTGCAAAAATGAACTGAATAACTGTAAATTGGATCTAGAAAAAGAGAGATATGAGTTAGAAAGCTGTAAGAATGAGCTGTCTCTATCTAAACAAAAGGAGCGGATGTCTTCAAATGAGATTATGCAGCTCATGGGCACGGTTGAGGATTTGCAGAAGCGTTGTCATCAGGGAAGTTTATCGGAAAACGAAACGATTCAGAAAATGCAAGAGGACACAGAAAGGAAGCTGGAAGTCCTCAGAGCAGAGCTAGATGAGATGTATGGACAGCAGATTGTACAGATGAAGATGGAGTTGAACTTGCAAAATGCTGAAAGAATGGAGCAAATAAACCAGCAACATCAAGCTGAAATGGAACTTCTCAAAACGCAATATTTATCTGAAACTTTGTCCGCTAGCACTAGTGAAAAAGAGGCGCTTAATGTTCAAATTAAGCAGCTTCAAGAAACAATACAGCAATCACAAGTAATTCATGATAAAACTGTACAAGAGCTAAACAGAGTCAATAAAGAAAGACTAGACCTGCAGGAACAGGTGGATAGTCTCATGCAAGATCTTAAATCTGCTAAAGAACAAGTAGAGCTGGTCTCTCACAATGCAGTCTCTCAGGAAAGCCATAAAAGCGAATTGCAAGTTCTCCAGGACACAATCGACAATCTGAAACGCCAACTTGAAATCGCTCAGGAAAACACACAAGAAATGCAAGAAAAGTACGAATCGGAAACAACCAATTACAAAATTAAGCTTGAAATGCTGGAACGGGAGAAAGATGCGGTACTCGATCGGATGGCGGAGTCACAGGAAGCAGAGCTGGACAGACTCAGGACTCAGCTTTTGTTTAGTCATGAAGAAGAACTTACAAATCTGAGAGAGGACTTGCAAAGGGAGAGCTTCATGAATACTGAAAATCTCCTTAACGAAGCTGCTATCAAACATGAAAAAGCGCTGGACGATTTGAGGATCAGTTACGATGAAAAAATTAATTTGTTACAACAAGAAAAGGAAACTGTTGCCACTGAACGGGAGGACCTTTTACATCAAATTCTAGAGCTAAAGGAGGATTTGAACATGGCTCTGCACAGCTCTAAAGGAGATGAGTTGGTGCAGCAGTTGCAGGAGTTACAGACAGAGATTGAAGAGCTAAGGAAAGGAAGGGAGGAGAGGGTAAGACTGGATAATGAAATACAAAATTTACAAGAAAAGATGTTATCAACAGAAAAACAAGCAAAACAAAATAAACAAATGTGGGATGATGCTTTGAAAGAGCGGCTGTCTGAAATTGAGGTATTGAACACGTCTAACAAAGCTTTGAAAGAAGAAATAGATTTGAAAATTAAAGACATTGAAAGCATCAGAGCAGAGAGAGACGGATATCAGCTACAAGTGGTCACACTCAAAGAGGAGATGGAGAAGCAGAGGACCACGTTTTCTTTTGCCGAGAAAAACTTTGAAGTGAACTATCAAGAACTGAAGGACGAGTACGCATGTCTAGTTAAAGCTAAGACTAAACTAGAGGAGCAAAAGATACAAGAGACACTGGAGCTGGAGGCGAAAATCTCCAGCCTTGAGACACAGATTCAAAAGATGGAGGACAGAGTTAGCGAAATTAAAATGGACGAGGGTAAAATCGCTGTTGAAAAGGACACTACTGAGTTAATGGAAAAGCTTAATGTTACTTTAATTGAGAAGGAGAGCTTGACTGGGAGGCTACATGAGGTCACAGATCAACTAGCAACAGCAGAGAGCAAAGTGGAGTGTTTGGAGGAAGAGCTGATCAAAGTAAAGCAGGAAAACGCAAAGGTCATTGCCCAAAATGAAGACCTCTGCAAAGAGATTGAGAAAACCCACAAAAAAGCGACTACTGTTTCTAATACGGAGTGTCAGCAGCTTCGAGGGGAAATTCAAACTCTTAAGACACTATTACGAAAGACCGAAGAGGAGAGAGATAAAATTCGGCAAACACCGGAGCTCCAAAGGGGATCGCAAACCCCATCTCCAGCTTTGGGAGAGGAGGGTCCAGCAGTGAAGGGACCATCTTTTGCTCGCAAGTCCGCAGCCGCCTTCGGGGCGAACAGGAGAAAAAGGAGACAGAGGAACAAGCAAAACCAGGCTGGTGTGGTTCAGAGCGGGAGAGAGGAGAGAGAGGAAGAAGAGGAGGGAGGTACGCCAGCGGAGGCAGCTACAAGTGCTGCAGAGCCCAGAGAGCAGACTGCTGTTATGTCATGCACACACGAGCAGATCGCTAAGGACGACGAGTCAGATGAGAGCCACGGAGAAACAGCGAAGCAAAACGCCAGCAAACAGGTAGGAGCAAGTGTGTGGGACTGCGCATGTTTGATAATGGGCTGTTGTAGTTTGATTTAATAGCATTTCTGATTGAAGTGACGTTCAAAAAGTGCAAGAAAGGTTCTGTGTACTTAACATAACTCCTGTAATGTGTGCTACAGTCAATGCAGTTATAGTTTTACTGTGAAAAAGCAGTGGTTCCATGCACATTGAAAATCTGATTATTATTAAATATTTGGAGTTATAACATTATTAAAATGATAAGTAAACAGCAAAATTGTCTGTTTTCTTTCTGATCATGGTCTGTCACATCTGCTTTGCGGTTTGCACGTTATTTAAATCATCTTAAAGGTGCAGAAATCACATAATCATATTTTGGTGTGCATGTAAACAAAGCCATTATGTTGCTACTTCTGAAATGTTGATTTGACTTGCTACATTTGATCAGTAACATCCTATTTGCATATTTCAAATTACACTCGAGGCACTACACCTCAGTATCCCCGCTAATGTGTTGTGCCAAATTTCAAATGAAATGTGTGCAATCATAGCTTCATTGTGAGGCAGAGGTCACTTATTGAAGTGTAGTACCTGTATTAGCAAACAGCCACTAAATATGCAGGCTGGGGAGGATTCGAAAACAGTCTGTTGCTTCTATCAAAAAGGGTATTGTAGTTGTTGTACATTTACTTATCAAAAAAAAGTCCATGTATTGCTTCCTGTTAAAGGTGCATTGTGTAACTTTTCTGGTGGAAGTCCTGTCAGATATGTTTCTCCATGAAGATGTTATTGCTTTGTGGATGTTTCACAGTATGATATTAAACCTTTCTATCTTCATGGAGACCAAACTAGACCAAATTACTGGTCATATCTGTGGAGAGGCAATTCCACTCAAAGTCAGAATGTTTGTTTTTCTAAGTATTTTTGAGCTGTAAAACCACCTGTAATTTAATAAATGTAAGACAGAGATGTTTAATACTGTTGAACATTTCAGATAGAGCAATGATAGATCCATAGAAACGAGCAGGTGATGGACCCTGAACGAAAATGTTACATATTGTACCTTTAACTTGAGCAATGTAAGTACTCTAAAATACATTATTGGTAAGATTCTGAGCCCATTTGCATGATGCTAGCACTGTCAACAAAGAAATATTTGATTGACATGGACTAGTTTTCATAAATTACTTGCACACTGATTATTACTATTATGTTTCACAAAGGGTGAATAAAACATGTGTCGTTTTAGTGGCCTTAGTGCTTACGCAGAGGTGCCAGATTGAAATATAGCACCTTTGAGGGGCTCCGTATTAACCACAGACTGCACGCTGCCTCACATTTGAGTAGCAGCTCAGTCTTTGCCCGCTGTGAAAAGATGTGTTTTACATATGACTGAGAATCTCACTATTCAAATACATTATGTGGCTTTATGCAGGGAAATATACAGTACGGCTTGAGCATAATTGACTTTGTAATAGGCATCAGTATTCTGCTCCTTTCCTCTTTTAAAGCACCACCTTACAATTCTCAGCTTGTCTTTTCTTTACAGATTGAATAGCAATAGTTTTTAAGAAAGGTATGTCTAATTTATTGAATTTCTGTCATGGCCACAATTATTGCTCTAATCGGTTAGGAAAAAAATCTATTTAATGCTTGTTCTGAATTATATGGACGCTTGCTTTCCTTACAAAATCACTCCTCTAATCTGCAGTGGTTGTCAATGTGAATTACTCTACCAATTACAGCTCAATTTGTTATATAGGCTTAATACTAAAAAAGGAATTCCTTCTAGTTCAAAGAAAAGGTACACACGATTATAATTGGACCTGAAAAATACTGGTCTTTCTGTATTGAATACTTGATATAATAACTATAGTGACAGGCCTTTTTATTGACCCAATTCCTTAAAATATCTGAGCTGTCCTAGAGAAAGGAGTGAACAAATTGTCAGTATTTATGGTTGCACAGACAATTGTACATTTTAGTTTTGTTTCCATCCTGCAGGGAGAGAAGCTTTTGAGGTGAGCATTTATTCATTTAAATCTATCACTTCACAAATTTAAAGACAGTGGATTTTGTCACGCCTTTTCACGCCTGTGTTCAGTAAGATTTTGCACTTCCTGGTTTGAAATGTGATTCAAAATGATTCGATGGTTCGTTTATCCTTTGGCAAAACAAACCAGAAGTGCTTCGAATGTGTGTCGTTGCTTCACCTTTTATCACTGCCTCTAAGTGATCGGCATGAGAAAACTTGTTCAGTAGTATTAGCTTACATTTTCAATAAGGTCATGTGGGCTATATGACAGTGGTTCTCAAACTGGTGCTAATTTTAAGCATGACAAATCAAAGTTTATGGTTTTATAACGGTTTTTAAAGGTGCACTATGTAACTTTTCTGATGGAGGGTCGATTACCTGCTTCTGTAAGTGGATCTTGTGTATCCTTGTATTCTGTTTTATATGTTAAGAGCATTGGCAAAATAACTGTTAAGCCTGAACCCTGTCCGTCTGTAGATTAGTTGAAGGATTATGTGATTTTTTTATTTTTTTGTGTGTTATTCATAAATCATTATAACATGATTAATGATTATTCCAATTGACCAGAATAAACTAACAAAGCAATAACATGTCACTGGAGACAAGCAGAAAAGTTCCCTAGTGCCCCTTTAAGACTTGGTCAACTTTTTGTTTGGTCATGGTTCAGTCCAGGATTTGTCACTTGTTAAAACCTATTTGTTGGTGAAAGTTTGATGATCACTGTTTGTTGTTACAGTGCTCTGTCTGCAGTCCCACACAGGAAATGATTCATAGAGAATCTCTGGTCTTTTTGTGCAGCATTATGTGATTTCTTTCCAAAGTGTAACATTTAAAGATAATTGCTTGCTTTTTGCAGGTGACCAGGCATGGGATGAGACATCGTACTCAGCCTGCAATGCGTCAGGGAGCTGGAGAAGTGGCACAGTCTGCAGACCATGTAAATATATGTTTTTTTAATTCAGTTTTAATATCGATCATGTGACCTCTAAGGTGATTGTAGTATTGTATAGTTTACAGTTAAAAATGCATAAGGCTGTATTGGGAAGAACAAAGTCCCTCCAATGTAATACTTAAATTCACTGCTTGCTAAAAAGTAGATGAAAGAAGGCCAATGACACTAAAAGCAATATGATCTTTTATAAATGATGAAGAAAAAAAGCCTTTCTTAGATTGAGGATATCATTAGATGCTTGAATGAAACATACAGACTTGACAGACCGTAAACCAGCATTAAAGCTACAATATCAATTTTAAAGTCCTATATTACCCCAAACCCAAAAAGCCACATTATGTTACCTTATCAAAAACATATCTGAAGTTGTGTTTTGTTTCATTTTCACATGTTTGAGTAATCCTTTATTATTAGTCTGTCTACATCTATGAAGCTCAAAATGCTCTGTCCCACCTTTTGATGTCATATGGAGTTATTTCTTAGTTAACAGCTCCTTTTACCTTTTGTTCAGCAGAGGCTGGAAATGTGTATGGACTTTAAAAACACAGTGGCACACTTCCTGTCTTACCACATGACATCACAAGGTGGTACAGGTGATTTCAGTTTGGTAGAAGAATTCAGCCTCAATATGCAATTTGTGTGCTTGTGTGAATGAACCAGACCACAACTTTGGGTATGTTTTTGAGTATGAAACAACATGATAACATAGATCACAGATTAGTGTAAATATTGAAAAAACATTATATTGTATGATTTTACTATAATCATTGAAATCTGTATCAAGTATTGTGCCCATTAAAGGGTCAATGTTTGAGCTTGTAATTTTAATATTATGGCTACACTATTGTAGTATTATGAGACAACATTAGACCCGCATCCTGCTACACTTTACATTTAACCTGATATTTCACAGTTGAAGACAAAAAATAAATCATATAAATCTGTATTAACCAGCTGCAACAGGTTTTTGCTCTGCTTTTCTCAGCCCTTAGTCCCATGATTAAGTCACAGCAGAGAGGGGGGTTAAACACAGCCTTATTAAAATGCCAAGTGCTCTTTAAAGACGTGACATCAAAGCCAACATCGTCACTATTTCATAATTGTGTGAGCCTTACAAAAGCTCTAATGCATTATTCAAACCAGGAGGACATTTCTTTTGTGTTGTTGTAATAGAAGGCCATGCGGGCTGAACACAGATTGTCATAACAGAAATGAGATTGGCTTAAATATGGCATTACATTTCAATATTTGGAAACGAATGCTTGAACCAGGGATGACCAAGACTGATTTAATAGTGTCCAAATGTTCAAATGGAGATGGTCTTTCCTGAGTTTTGTAAATGCAACACATAGATACAAAGACTATTTTTTTTAAATTTTGTACAGATATACTAACATACATCATCTTAAATGCCAATGAAAGTAAGAGGATGGACTGTTAACTTAATCTTTTGTGTGTTGTGGGATATTTATGTTAGGACATCTAGCAACAAAAAGAACAAAGCTTATTTACAAATCAATGAATGAAACCATGCAAGTATAGCATAGAGCAGTGGTTCTCAAACTGGGAGTTCCTAAGCCATGTGTTGATAAAAATTGATCATCACTTAAATAATACAATTTCTTACAATATACAAAAAACAAAAAATATTTTTCCAGCTTTCAGATATTGAACTATAAGTCAATATAGTAATTATCATGACAGACCTAGTATCGATCTTTTTCATAACACCCCTATCCCATATGATTGTGATGTGTATTTTTCTGTGCTCAGGGAGAGTGCAGATTGCAGATGGAGGCCCAGCACCTCAGCCTGTCTCAGATTCACGCTGCACAACTGGAGCTGCTACAGGAGGAGGCACAAACCAAAGCAGTGGAAATGAGACTTCAAAAAGATCAGCGCGACCAGGGTGAGAAAGAGAAAGATGGTACTACCAAAATAACCAAACAAATATGTCTTTTTGTGATGGATAAAAATGGTGTTTTATCTTTTATTTGTAAGGTCTGTGTCTGTGGTTTTCATTTATTCTTTGTTCATGAAATTGAATGGTCAGCTTTTAGTAAATCGCTGACCATTCATTCCTATATCACTGAAGTGGGGCATGGTAATATATCTTCATAATTTATTATATTATATTAAGAAATCATCAATGCTTTCTAAATGGCGTGTTATTAAAGGCGCTGTACTGTCCAAATTTAATCCTCACTTTCCTAACGCATTCCTATCATCCTGTTTATTCACTGTATTATTTTTTTATTTGATTTCAATACTATGTGCTTGTACAATATATCTGTACTACAGCAACACAAAACTACATAATACTTAATTACATGAAAAATTAGGGTACAAGACACTGTAAACTATTGTCTGTCAAAGATTATACTGTGTAACCAGTCAAATATGTCTTCCCTGATTAGAGAGTTCACTTAATTAATTATTCGTAATTAATTATTTTACAGCTTTTACAGCTGCTCCAAGGCTGTCCAAATACCAGAACATGGTTGAAGCTGTGTCTGAGGAATGCAGAGAAATCATTTTGGTAAAATATATATACATATTTATGTGTGATGAGGCACTAAAGCCAGTGTTTACCTTGGGCCCTCTCTCCAGTTCTTTCAGAAAATGTTTGGGGAAGACTTTTCAGACACAGCCATTGCTGAAGAATCTCCTATTTCTTCAAATGAGAGACCTGAAACTAGTGAATCTTCATCTGTTGTACAAGCAGCCAGAGGTACACTGCACTTATTTTATTCATGATTAATTAATAAAGCACTTACACTGCTTCAGACAAGTTTTTCAATGGTTTAGTCCTCATAATGTTTTCATTATCAGACCTTGCGTGGTTCAGACTGGGTTTGGTTAAGTTTAGTTTGAGTTCTGGTTTATTCCTGTTTTTGGATTAATTTTGATAAGTAAAATATGTATATACCTATAACAATCCTCCTCTTTCTTTATCTGTACTTGGTTTTAATTTCGTATAGATTAGTGTCCAGTTTGACCGTATCTGTACTTTATTTTAAATGCATATGGTCCTTACGAAAACATTTCTTCTTCCACTTTGGTCTATGTTTTTCAAATGGCACATTTTAGACCATTCAAAATATTGGAAGAGATCTTTTCTGATGTGGTGTTTGGTGTGAGAAGTTTCTTGTCTGAACAATATATTGATTTGTCCCCTGTTACAGAGTTGTACAGAGATCTGCAGCAGGTCAGGGATAGCATCGAGCAGGAGCACCATCGACTTTCTCAGCTCCAGACTCTGCTCAGGGCAGATGGGAGCAAGGTAGATAGTTTGTGCAAGAAAAATTTTGAAATACCTTTACAAGAGTTACAAGCCTTATCTTATTCTCAACTCAATAACTCACATTTTTTTGGTTTTGAAGATGATGGAGCTGCAAAGTGCGTACGATAATCTAAAGAGCAGCACTGACAAAGAGATCTCAAGCCTGCGTCTCCAGGTCTCCAGCGTTCAAACTTCAAACTTAAGCAAAGGTGAGTTTTAATCATGAACTGTTTCCATTTCCACTATCCTGCCCCGGATAAGCGGAAGAAAATGGATGAATGGATCGACAGTCACATTATTTCACTTTATGCAATTGCACTTATGAATACTGAGCAAATTACATTTTTGTTTTGTTCATGTATTGTTCATATTTTAACAATTATCATTTACTGTATAATGAACTCCAGAGTTTTTCTTGCTTATTATATTTTTTGTAATTGTTTAATATAATAATCCTAATAGATGGACAGATACTTATTCATGACATACAATGTTAAAAAATACAGAAATTTCATTTTTTGTGCATTAGAACGATACCTAATTTCTGATTGTGGTACCTTAACCGTACCTTTTTCATCAATTTTATTACATATTAAAGGTGCATTGTGTAACTTTTCTGGTAGAATGTCCATCAAATGCTTTTCTTCATGGATATGTTACTTTTGTGTCTGGAATGTTTCACAGTATGGTATTAAACCTTTCTATCATGGAGACCAAACCAGACCAAGTTACAGGTCAGATCTGTGGAGAGGGAACCTAGCTCACAAGTAGAATGCCTGTTTTTCTAGGCATTTTTGAGCAGTAAAACCACCTGTAATGTAATAACTGCAAGTTAGAGCTGTTGAATGTCACACATTCAACAGCATTCCTGGCAGAGCAGTGACATATTGATTCAAACAAACAGATAACAGACCCTCCACCAGAAAAGATACACAGTGCACCTTTAAATAAGTTAGTGGTGTTGGTAAATTGGCAGATTTTGAAACAACACGTATTTAGTGGCTCTTAGTGTATTGTATGTAATTTTTTGTTGATTGGCATCATCAAGTTGGTGGCATGAATTCTGTACTAAGACCTGCTAGTACATCTTGTAATTGAACTGTTTTCATTTTCTTTCAGTTATAATTTTTTACTTTGCTATATTCTTTGCATTGCTGTGGGCTCTCATTAAACTTTAATACTATTGATCCGAACCCTAAATGCTTCCCTGTTGAGCGTATTGTATTACACTCTCTCCTTTCTTTCTGTTTAGATGTGGGTGAACATGCACACTCCACCGCCGTCACGTCTACCTCCCAAACCTCTTCGGAAATTCAGATGCTCAAAGTTGAGGCTCAGCAGAAGCAGCAGCAGCTTGAACACAGCCACAGACAAGAAGTGGAGAGACTCAGGGCCCACTACCAGCAACAAGCGGCCGAAACGGAGGAGAGGTACGCTACAGAGCTATTCATGCTCCAACAACGGCTGCAAGAGGTCGACGCAGCACCCAGCCACTTCAGGTGAATACACTGAAGAAAATAGTCGTCTTTTTCCTATAGGCTGTAATTTAATTTGGATTGTAGCGATTTGTTTTGTGCAAGAAGTAATAGAAATTTGCAGATAATAGATTTGAATGTGCAATGGCCAGTTACATGTGGTTCTGCTATTTTCCATAACACTGAAGTTGTTTGCTGCTTTGTCATTATAATGGCCTAACACAGTAGTGCTGCATGGTTTTCAATCCGTGTATCATTCGTTCATTCGTTTTTCAATATAAAACCAAAAATAAGAAAACGAAAAAACAACAGTTTTCTTCGTTATTTGTCTCGAAAACCAAAATGAAAAAACAGATAACGAATCGTTTTTTCAGTTTTCGATTTTGTGTTTAAATGAAGAATGGAAAAAACGGATAACGGCCGTTTCCCGTTTACGTGACTTCCGTGACTGAGATGCCGAACTTTTGCACCGCGTACGGACTGAACCAGGACTGATCCAGGTCCGAGACCAGAGCGAGACCAGAGCGGGACTGAGACCGGGACCAGAGCGGGACTGAGACCAGGACCAGAGCGGGGACCGAGACCGGGACTGAGTCTCAGTAGCGCTCTGGTCCCGGTCTTAGTTCGGTTCGTTTTCGTTGGGGTGAAAGCGTCAGTCGGAGGCTTTGCACCACCTCGGAATCAGCCGCGGTTCTTGAGCGCGGAGGACCAGAGCAGCTCTGTCTGGTCTCGGACCTGGATCCGTCCTGATTCAGTCCGTATGCGGTGAGACTGGGACCAGACCGGGACCAGAGCGGGCCTGAGACCGAGATCGAGACAAGACCAGGACCAGACCGGGACCAGACCGGAGGCTCAGAGCCCACGGCAGGGCCGGAGCTCGAAGCTGAGGCTCGGACCCCGTGGAGGCTCGGAGTCAAAGCTCGGAGTCCGGTCTGGTCCCGCTCTGGTCCCGGTCTGGTCCCGGTCTCAGTCCCGCTCTGGTCTCGGTCTGGTCTCGGACCTGGATCAGTCCCGGTTCAGTCCGTACGCGGTGCAAAAGTTCGGCATCGCAGTCACTGAAGTCACGTAAACGGGAAACGGCCGTAATCCGTTTTTTCCATTCTTCATTTAAACACAAAATCGAAAACTGAAAAAACGAATCGTTATCCGTTTTTTCATTTTGGTTTTGGAGACAAATAACGAAGAAAACTGTTGTTTTTTCGTTTTCTTATTTTTGGTTTTATATTGAAAAACGAATGAACGAATGATACACGGATTGTTTTCCCTCACATCTGTAATAGCTGCTTGTTCATAAAGATTTCAATTAGATTTTTACTTAAAGGTGCACTATAGAACTTTTTTTGTTGGGCGTCCGTCATCTGCTTGTTCATCTGCTCTTGCATTAAACTCTACCTTACATTTATTAAATTACAGGTAATTTTATAGCTCAAAAATACTTAGGAAAACAGGCATTCTGACTGTGAGTGGGCGAGTGTTTCCTCTCCACAGATATGACTTGTAACTTGGTCTGGTTTGGTCTCCATGAAAATAAAAAGGTTTAATACCAGACTGTGAAATATTCCAGACAAAGCAATAAAATCCCCCTTTAGAAAAGCATTTAAGTTACACAGTGCACCTTTAAACTGTACTTTAACAAGGGCAAACACCACGTGCTAATTTGCTTTACAGTTAGTTAAGGGCATAAATGATGTAGTCTTTGTGTCAGTCTCAAACCTGTATAAATTGTGATGTTTGAGTCAGCAAGGAGATTCGAACATTATTTTTAGTTTCATTATTATGAGATGTTTGCCCAGATATTCGTTTTGACTTGAAGTAGCATGACCGATAAAGAGAGTGAGAGTGAACAAAATTGTCTGTCTGTCTATGTGCCTATAGTCTGTTTACCACCTCAGTTGAAATATTTAAATACTGTATATGGATTTCAGATAGCTAAAAAATGTATTTCCACAGCATACAATTTAAAACAAAGTATTATGTCTTTTGAATAGAAAAAGTCTATCTTCTATCTTAAATTATGTGTTTTGTCTTTCAGTTCATCTACGGACTCCAGCAGTTTTGACAAACAACATGAGCAGCTCAAGGTAGGGTTGTTTTATTGGTTAATGTTTCTTAAAGGTGCTATATTACACAAAATTGACTCTTGTGAGCTTTAAGCCATGTTATAATGTTGTTACATACTCAAAAACATAGCTGGCGTTGTGTTTTGTTTCATTCACACATGTTTAATTAATCGTTTATTATTAGCCTGTCTAAATCCCCAAAGCTCAAAATCCTCTGTTTTCCATCTTGTTATGTCATGAGGCAGTAGTTTTCAAGTTAGCAGCTACTTTTTCACCTTTTGTTCAGTAGAGATTGGCAATCTGAGCGCTGAAATCATCCAGATGATTCTCGTGAATGTGTATGGTGTTTAAAAAACACAGGGGAAACTTCCTCTATTATCTCATGACATCGCAAGGTGGAGCAAAGTGTTTTCCAAACCAAACACAACTCCAGGTGTGTTTGTGATGAGGAAACAACATTATAGCATAGATCAGAAAACAGTGTAATATGGGCCCTTTAAAATAATTAATATTCAATGTATTGCTTTTTGATTCAAGTTAAAGCATGTTTTTACATTAAAATAGTATGACAGTTAAGGGCGGTTGAGGGGAGAGGCAGGAGCAGCTCGCTTTAGGCAACAACATGCCCTAAATCTTTAGTTTTGCTTCACTGGGGTAGTAAGAAGACTGTTACATCTGAAGATTAAAAAGCTCGGACATTGCATAACTCACCAGCGTGGCCTGTTTCTCTCTGACCAACGGGACATAAAGTGACATGAATGAGAGACGGCTTTCATGTAGCTCGATTTATTCACGCAACTTACTTCTTTTCATAAGAGGCTGGTCTCTGGCTCTCAAACCTCTAAAACACTGCAGCGTTATACAGAAACAAATCAGATAGAGGGCAGAAAAACAGTACTGACATGTGCATAAAATAGTAAATACAGGACGAAAAAGTGCTTAAGCAAAGTGGAGACTTGGATTTACTGCTCTTAAGGTAGGTTCATTTAAAAGATCAACAAAAAAAAATAATTCAACTGTGATTTCTCCTGACTAAACAAATGTTGTGATAGTTTTATGTATTTTACTTGTGTTTTTTTCTTTTTTTTTTGCCAGACTTTTTTCGAGCCCTAAAGATGCATGGCACAACATTTCTAGTGGAGGGTCTGCCACCTGCTTTTCTCCATGGAAATGTTATTGCTTTGTCTGGGATGTTCCACAGTATAGATTAAACATAGCTATCATGATGGAGACAAGCAGGTTACAGCATTATACTACATTACAGGTCAGATCTGTGGAGAGTCGCCCCCATTCTTAGAAGGAATTATTGTATTTTTGAGCAAAAGAAACACCTGCAATAATGAATAATGCACGATGGATATATTTAATGTCACAACATGTAACATTCCAGTCAAATATATATATAACATCTCCACGGATACAAGTATGTAAGAAAATTGTTGATGGTTGTGTGAGGAAAAACATTCAAATTCAGTGCATTTTTCTTTTTATTATTCTGAAATAATGAAATCTGAAACTTATTATTCAGATTTTAAATGCCTTTGCTATTTATTTATATTATTTATATTATTCTATTCCTTTCTCTTTTTTGTGAGGGGAAATTATGTTAATTTATAAGCATGCAGGTTTGAAAAAAGTAAATTTAAGTAATGATGATTACATCATCCACAATTCTTATGATAGATTTTATTGTCATATTTGAGTTTGAGTGTCAGTAATATAACTAAAGAATATGGTGGTTCAATGGAAAGTTAAAATTGTATTCTCTTTTTCATCAGTGCTGAAAAAAAGTAGAATCCAGTGGTGTATTTATAAGTGGTCAAACCTTGGGTATCTGTTGCCTGGGCTGTACAGTCACATGACCATCTCTGCTGTCTGTAATGTTATATTTCTTTTTGGTTCGATGCAGGAGGCTGAAGAGGAGTTTTCAGAGGGAGGGCGGACTACGACTGCACAGCTCCAGTCTCTGAAGAAAGCACTGCAGCAAAAGTATGTCCAGGAAGTAGAGACTCTGAAGGAGCAGCACCGCGCAGAGCTGAGGAGGCTGACGGAGGAGAGGGGGCGAGGGGCTAGAGGAGAGGAAGAAAGTGTCTCTGGACTAGAACCACAACACTGGGAGAGAGTGGAGGAAGAGGTTGCCAAGGTAAGATACTAAAGATGAATAAAGTAATAAAATAAAATACAAATTATCTATCTATATTATTAAAGTCAGAACTACTGTGAGTTTGTCAACCTAATTTAGAAAAATTTAAATGCAGAATTATGTAAATGCATAAGTCCATATATGTATTATCTTTTGAATAGTCAAAAGTATTCAAAATTGCGACGATAAAGAGGGAGCTGAATTGTCAGTTTATTGTTTGTTATTGTGTTAAATAAAGTAGTTCCACCCATAGATTTCTGAGTTCCACCTACATAACATTACATTTCCATGGCAACAGAAAACCCAAATCTCATCTTAAATGACAAAATCAGTTTTAACCGATAAAGTTGCCTAAACCAGATATATTGTTCCTATTTTCATCAGGCCATAGTCCAGATGTCGGTGGAGTTCGCTCAGAAGACTGAACTGGCTCGTCTCAGTAAAGACTTGGATCAAACCAGCAGCTCAATGCAAACCGAAGAGGACGAGGAAGAGGAGGAGACGCCGAGAGCCTCCGTCACCGGGGACTGGGCTGAATCTGAGCGGGACCAACTGCAGCTCGAGATACAACAACGAGATTCAGAAATACAAAAGCTACGAGATCAACTCCAGAAAGCAGAACGAGCACTGAACCAGGTTAGTGTAAGTATAATAATCTGTTTTTAACCTTCAAGTGTAGGTTTGTTAGTTTAATTTAATGACTCATTTACTGATGTGTTGTGTTGTCAATTTCCAGATGCACTTTGTCGCACTGCAGGTGTCAAACATGTGGTTTTAAATACACTGTAATTTTTGCTTTATTAATAAACACAAAAAAAATAACATGTGGGTGGGGTTCCAGCTGTTCTTCTTGCCACCCAACTTGTGAAATCTCTGAGACTGGTCTATATATCTTTAGTAAAAATCTATGTAATCTCTTGGTCTTCCAGGTAGGTTCAATAGTAAAAAAGAAGATAAAATTCTGTTAGCTGGGAAAAGTTTAGTAAAGAGACAGTAGCAAGTACATTTACCACCTTATGAATCTACCATGTTTATTATATTTTGAAATCACTGCAAATTTCTTGTTAAAATAAATAGGACTCTCCATATTGGGAAAAAAATCCATATTGCCCCGTTGTACCCCATTCTGATCGTTAAATTCCTCATTCCAAAGTTGTCGACTTATAGTGAAGTTGAAGCGTGCCAAGGCTATTCTCAGGCCTGTTAGCCTTTCACTTTGTATTTACTGCATGATTAGGCTTTACTTTGTGATAGCCACTGCTGTCAGCTCCTCTTTTCTCACCAAATGGAGACACGCAACTCCTCATCTGTAACATTGAAATCCAGTTATGATAAAATGAAGTATAGGGGCTTTAAAGGTCCTATATTAGACAAAACTGACTCTTGTGAGCTTTAAGCCATGTTAGAATGTTTATACTTTCTCAAAAACATGCCTGGAGTTGTTTTGTTTTATTCATTTGGGTAATCCTTTATTATTAGTCTGTCTACATCTCCAAAGCTCACCTTGTGATGTCATGTAGTGGTGGTTTTCAAGTTAACAGCTCCTTTTACCTTTTGTTTAGTAGAGATTATAGACAATTATTGGGCAGAAATTATCCAAATTATGCTAGTGAAGGTGTGAATGAAACAAAACACAACTCCAGGTGTGTTTTTGATGAGGAAACAACGTTATTACATAATGTTCATTAGAAAATAGGGCAATATGGGCCCTTTAAGATTTAACCATATAATTAAAACTGCATGCACAGCGAGATCCTTTTTCTGAGTTCTCTAAACAATAGCCTTGGTATTTTCTAAATAAAGCATCAAAAATTGAACATACAATATGCAGCATGTTTTGGCAAATAACCTCTGGCCAAGAGTAAAAAACTTGGTGCCAAAAAGTGTAATTTTAGCTGCTTCTACTACTGCTACTCGCTGCTCATACTATGCTAACAGCCGCACATTTTGGTGATTAAACAGCTCATACAAACAAAATATAAATTGTAATTGTTAAAGAAAGCACAGTAGGCACAGTAATAACCATGAACTACAATATTGACATAACATATATGCTTCATAAAATACATGATGTGTTGAGCAATATACAAAAGTAGTCTTTAAATAATTTATTATTAGAGCCAGGTTGTAGAAAATGGGGCAGAGATAACGAGAAATACTAGTATATTTCAAAATGAGTTGTTATTAGTTATATTAGTTGTTCATTCAGTCTCTATATGTATTAAAACTAAGGAAAAGGGAAAGAAATAAAGACTCATTGGACTAAAGACCCAGTAGTAACTTTTCACTGGGCTACTTGTCTCTTAATAAACCAAATTTCAGTCAAAGAAAAAGCCCTCTTTCACAGTCACAGTTGGTACCAGTCTCTGCTTACCCTCTCAGCTTCTCTCACACATGCTGCACTGAGCGCTGGGACTGCAAATGAGCAAAGTCTGTGCTGTTCTCTTCTCCCCAGCGGGCGGCGCTATTGCCTCTGCCAGCATTAAGCCTCAGGTGCACCTGTTGCCATAGCAGCACAAAGACCGTAGTGTTTCGCTCGGCTCCGATAGACTAGCCCAAACTGTGTCTGTGTGCATTTTCTGTACTCATTTGTTAACTGCTAAAAGGCGACTGTTCCTCTGTATGACTAGCAATGCCTAATTTGAATCCACTTTGACTAAATTGTTACATAAGCAGACATACAGTGAGGAGTCCGCTGAAGTTATGTGTTAGGTTTTATGTAACTTTGCAATGACCGGTCTGCTGTCTGTTCTGTCTCTACTGCCCGTCCAGGCTCTGAAGCAGGGAGAAGGTGAAAGAGAAGCTGAGGTGGAGGCGGTGGTGTCATCCGCAGCCAAAACAACACATGCGCCAAGATCACAAGAGGATGAACACGAGGATGAGAGGTACAGAGCACTTGATATTTTAACTATTCATTAGTTTAGAAGCTGATCTGAATTAGAGTGGATGCTGTTTTGACATTGATGACAACCTAGTAAAACTTGATATTAGGCGTGTCACGATAATTAATATATCAGCTTATCTTTCAATATACCAAACCTGGAACTAAATATTTTTAGATTCAGTAATTATCGTGTGTACATTACTTTTTCAATAGTGGTGAGATATTTTTGTTGTAATACAGTAATACTTGAGCTGTAGAAGGTAGAATAAGTAAATTTTATGGCTAATTATTGGTTAATTCTGATATTTATTTGTTAGAGCTCATGTCTTTTTAACGATACTGTCTATTTAAAAAAAACTTTCACTGGGATAGTCCTGCTTTATTGTTATTATGAGAGAGAAATAACGTAGTTTCAGTATTATCGGTTATCGCAATATTTCTCTGTAGCAATATATCATTCTTTAAAATGTATTATCATGACAGGCCGAGTTGATATTTATGCCAGTTCCAAGCCGGATAAATAGACTAGGATATGTCTGGGGTAGCAGTCAGTGTAAACATCTATATATATAAGGCAGTCCTAAAGATACTAAAGAAGCAGTTGAGAAAATTCAGCCTTTTTCAGCCTCAGGCAACTTGCGAAATCGATTTAGAATTTAGAGGTATGATTTTCTGTGGCGATCCCAGTAAAGAAAGAACATAAAAACAAAAACAACAAACGTATAATCATGCAAAATTACAATTCAATTTAAATTTCTTGACAAATAAAAACAGACACATTATTCCTTTATTGTTTCTCTCTCTTTCAAGGGCGCTGCTGCTTAGAGCCAATGAGCAGCTCAGTCAGGTTCTGGTGGACGTCTTGACGACAACTTCTGCAGCGGAGAAGACTCTGGGCCTTCATCTTCAGACTCTGAGAAAAGCTTCCAGCACAGAAAAAGTTAAAGTAACTCCAGGCAAGTCACAGTAATAATACATGAATAGTAGATCAAAGGAAGGATGTTTACTTCACTTGGGCAGCTACAAGATTGCGAAGGGTGCATTCACGCTTGACCTGGTTTAGTCTTGTTTGAGCCCAATTCAGTTCAGATGTAGGCCCATTTTGGTCCTGGTCTACTCCTGATCTAGTTTGGACATTTAGAATTTGTTTAGTTCTAAATTTGTGTGGTCTTAGTACAAGTGTGAATGCATCTTTAGTGATTCAAAAATTATGATAGTTACAACAGTATAATAAACTCTTAAAAGTGCACTATGTAACTTTTTGGTTGGGGGTCCGTCACCTGGTTGTTGCTATAGATAGGTCATTGCTCTGCCTGGAATGTTCCACAGTATGACATTAAAAACCTCTACCTTGCATTTATTAAATCACAAGTGATTTTATAGCTCAAAAATACCTGACCTGTGGCTTGGCCTGGTTTGCTCTCCATGAAGATAGAAAGGTTTAATACCATACTGTGAAACTTTCAAAGCAAAGCAGTAACATCTCCATGGAAAAAAGCATTTGATGGACCCTCCACCAGAAAATATAAAGTGTCCAATCATGAATCAAATCACAAACCACCTGATGTGGATGTCACACAGGGACTTTTGTATCTGACATGTGAGCTCCCCTGCGGTGGCATAAGACAAACAGAACACAACTGAACAAAGACCGGACCCCCTGCCAAGTTTCTGTTTGGGCAAAACACACACAAGCATTGTCAGAGGATTACCCATGATCTATGGAGATTTAAGTTTACTTTTACTATGGTTTTCATCCATACAACAGTGCTTCTCAGGTCTGTAATTTTCTAGATGTTACATTCGTACATTCTGCATTCTAATGGAGCTCAACAATGGCCGCCCACGCCCCGGGTCCGAAACTAAATTTCCCATTAATTTTTCTCATAGACTTTCTGTAAAATATACATATATATTAAAAGTTTGAAAACTTGCTTAGGGCTTATCAGCAATGTGTTAACTAATGTCCACAACCCCTTTAAAATATGTTTCTGAAGCTTTATGAATAGAAAAGTCTTGTATTTTAACTTTGCTTTTTGGACTGTGTTATAGATCGTAGTTAGCATGTAGCTGGTTAGTCTCTGCGATGCCTTTAAACTCTTAATATTTAAATTTTCCAAAAAGTCTATGGGAAAAATTTGTGGAAAATTTACTTCCCCAACCATAGTGAGTGATCACTATTGAAGTACTAATAATTACATGAAACATTGCTGGCAGTAACATTTTTCTTTGGAACACCATGGCCTCATGCCTGATTCAATTCTGTAAATGTCTGTCATTCAAATTCCGCATACCAAAGTTTATTGCATTATATTGGTGCCATCTATTCAAAATGATATGCAAAGTAGTATATAATGAAATTGTGCAATTAGAATTATACAGTTTAATATCTCAACTAGAAATATTAAGGTATTAATGGGTTGAAGACACAAATGGCAGGACCATCCTGTACAACTGTTTTATGTGTTAAAATAAGATATGATTGAAACTCATAAAAGTAAGATAAAATTATCTGATTAAATTCTCTTTTTGATCACTTTGCAGCCAGTGGTTCAGGCAGCGAGTCAGGTGCAGATGAGGAGACTTATCCGTTTGTGGATGTGGAGGCAGAAGAGGACCTGGAGATGTTACAACACATGGACCATCTGCTGCAGGGAGCTGCCTCACAGCTGGAAAACCAGGAGTATCTCACCAACATCAGCACTCGCCTCCAGAACGCACTCGAGAAGATGTTGATGGCCATAACCAACGCCACTGACCAGGTATGCTGTATTAGTTTTAAACTGTATTTCTTCGCCAAACTGTGGCTTAAGGCTTGAAGACTTCTTTTGGATCTGGTTGGTTCCATGACTGTTGCAAATTTTCACAATGAGGTTTTAAGGTGTTGGTCAGGTAGTCCTCAACAGTAACTTGGTGGTGACATTGCACCATAGCATTTCTTGCACTGAAAAAGCTGCTTCAGTGAAGTCATAATTATTTGTTTATTGTGTCATTGAACAACGCAAACCTTTGTTTTAGTTTTAATGTTTTGATAATTCATGTCCACATTAAACAATACTAAGAATTCTAGTCGATCTGGTTTCGAAATACCACAAACTAAGCCATTATTTTGTTTCTTTAAGCTGTTAATTGCATGATCAACAATGTGTCTTTTAGACCCATTATTTAAAAAGTAATTTTATTAATAAATTTCATATTTGCTCCTAAAAACTATTATAAAAATATTATTCCTTCATTTTCCGTGGAATCATTTTTTTTTCCTAGGAAGCCAATACAGTGTCTTTCTATTTCCTTTTAGTTTATTCTGTTGATTTAGTTACATAATTGGCCATAGGGTACAATTATTCCTGAAATTTGAGATGCTGCCACTATGGAGACTCTCATGTTGCTTTTCCTTTTAAATGTAAACAGAAACCTCCAGACTCACACACTGTCAGCTCGTAAAAACCTTTCCCCTATAGTATTAACCCCTCTGTGATTTCCCCTCTTCAGTGGGAATGAGGTTGCAGAATGTTGTCGTAACAAAGTCGTCCTGTCCAGAAAGCCCCTCCTCATTCACAGCGGTTGCCTATGGATACGCTCTGTGTTTATGGACCTTTTGTCTGTCCAATTGAGCGGCTCCCCTCAGGTCATGCCCGCTGAGGCCTGGGTCAGTCTACAGAGGCCGATCCCGGTCTAACGAGGTCTAACTAGGCCATTGGTTGCGTTCACGTAGTATCTGACTGTGCAGAGCAGATCTTCCCGTTGGCTGTGGCGCACGCGTTACTCACACTCAAATGAGTTTTATCTCAGTGATCTAAAAATAGCAATGAAGAAGACATTTCCAGCCAGGCGTCAATGGTGTAGCCATGCCTGTGTGGTCTTGGTTGGGTAATAAGAGCCATTGAATTGCATATACTGTGCTGTACAAATATTTGAGTAAAGTAAATGATACGTAAAACAAGGGACGGGCACTTAATCAAATTTGAACTGCGATCTAATCATTTAAAAAAATCAATGATAAGCTTCGGCCTGTACTAGACAAGAAGAATAACTAAGAGCCTGCTCTGTTTGTGCTCATGAAATTAGCATTAAAAGCCATATTTATTTGTTTTTAATAAGAAATATTAATGCAAATTTATTCTGTTGTTATTTTAATGGTCAGATTTAGAAGATTTATTGAAGTTTTTTTATTTATTGAAAAGTATAATATGAGATGGGCCTGTTTGGAGGTTATTTTTTTACACAAATGATTTTTCATATGCCCTACATGCAATTTTGTCACAGAATTATCCATGACTCCAAGAATTATTTATTTTGTTCAAATTACACAAAATCTTTTTATTTGTCCCAGGCCCTAGATTATTTGCTTTGTCAACAGAGAGGACAGGCAATCTCCAGCACAATAAACTTGTAATCACCTGAAATGGCTTGTTTAATGATTTCCCTGTTACTATTGATCGGATGTACATTAGCCTTGTGGTTAAACAGCAGTAGCCTTTAGATCATTGTGTCTCGTCTGCCTCTGGTTCACGCAGAGATTGATACAAGAAGCCGGTCAGGAATGTTAAGTGTCGTTGGCAGCTGTAAATTACTGCTAGTAGTAAATAGCTTGCCTTTTCACCTTCTCTTATCAGCTCATGCAAAAAGTTTAAAATACAAGTCAAACATTGTCAGCAGGTGGGGCCAAAACACACAACTTGTCAAAACTCCTTAACCATTATAACTACTGTATGATGACACAAACGAGGGAATCCAGTCAGACAACTTTAGTGGGAGAGTGAGGGAGGAGTTGAAAGAACGCATTGTGTCTTTATTTGCAAGTCTACCTGGAAAATCGCTTTAAACCACACCTACTTTTCCCTCCCACATTTGCTGAACAGGATCCTGGTTTGTAAAATCAGTATCGGAAGTGAAATAGTCTCCGTAGATGGATTTGTGTGGAAGTCTGGGATGATATTTTTGAAGCATGCGCAGAGCTAGCTGAGTCACAAAGTCAGTAGCGTGCCGGGGGTTAGTGCGCTTCACTTGACAGGAGGGGAAAAAACGCAGTATAATGGTTTGAGAAGGGCAGAAGCCATAGTGACAACTGTTCCAATAGGAAATACAGAGGGAAGAGATGTTATGCGCTGTCATTACAAACTCAGCTGGCTGCCGGACAACTAAAGGAGGCCCCCGGGAGTTTCCCCTTCAGGTCATGGTTGCTACGGCTGCATGGTATTGTTAATGAATCTCCAGAGAGAAAGAGAGAGAGAGAGACAGTGGAGAGAGAGGACAGACGCGGGGGAGCGAGCTTTACTGTGCGACATGATCTGATCCCACTGTGAAGAAACAAGGTCACTGGAAACTCAGGAAAAGGATCACCAAAGTAGAGAGATGCAGGTTTGGTTGTTTACATACCTCTATCGTTTTGGGACCACCTTTGCGCTGCTGGACTCAAAAGTGACTACAAGCTGCTCCCAAGGATGACTTTTCTGTACAGGACCTATCCCTTTCCCAGCCTCACAGCGTCTGACCTACCTTGGATTATATCTCCCCCTTTATTTACCTGGAACTGGTTCTACCTCCAGCAGGTGGCATGTGACTGTGGTGACGTGAATGTCACTCTACCTATATTGTTTACCCTTCTACTTGTGTGTGCTGGGAATGCTTAGGAACAGTTGCTCGGTGATATATCAACAACCTCAACCTCTTCTTCTCTTCTCCACTGGATTTATTCCCATTTGAGGTCTGGCACCAAGCCGGGAGCGGACTGTTGGATTATTATGAGTGACAGAAGCTTTTAATGAATTTTGCGAAGGAGCTACATCTTGTCAAGCCCACTCTTCACCATGGATTCGTACCGGTCGTACTGGAACTCGAGCATGCACAGCACCACGTGGGTCGAAGGGGAGGATCAGGACATCTATGAGGTTGAGTCCCGTATCCCCCTGCCCCGACCATTCCCCCTCTGTAGCACTTTGAATGAGAAAAATGCTGTGGTGGTGCAAACCCAGATCTCTCATGTCAACCACCGGACAAATGGCCATCTTCTTAAAGTCATCTCTAAAATCTCCCTCCCCACCCCACCTTATACAGTAAGTTTCTGCCTGACAACTGTATAGATTTTAAATTATACATTATTATGTAGTTATTCTGAGTCACTGAAGAGAAGTGGGTCTGTTAAATATTTCACAGCAGTCAGGCCTGCACATGCAAACGTAAAGCACAGTTCATGTTTTCTCACATAAGTGCCCAGCAGCACAACTGTGAAAACGGTGCAAAATATTATAGCACACTGTATATGACACGTGGGACTTCCTGGTTCACTGTAGATATAACAAGACCTTTGCTCAAGGAGATAGGGAAATTTATGGAAAGTAACAGTGAAAGGAATAGGATTGGTCACGCCAAAGGTTTATGAAACAGTGTTGTGATGTTTAATTGAATTTTATGAGGGAATAAGAGCATCTGTCACCTGACTTTATGGCAGTGGTTTTAGGAAATCATTCTGCTGAATTTCTGTGTCACATGGTACTGAAATAAAGTCACTCCAAACTCTGATTAACTGCACTGTGCTAGTGAGAGTTCTTTCACTGAAATAGAAACACAAAAATTAAACAGTTTTGTTTTCATTTCATTTAGTAATGACATCAGTTATTAAAATAAAAATATGACCTAAATCTAACTTTTTTTCAGTTGATGTCTCTAGAGATGCACTGATCCAATATTGGTATCTGGTATCGACGCTGATATTGAAAAATTTGCTGGATTGGATTTTGACTTCCAAATATATCTTGATATAACATAGATATACTGGTAGGACATTTAAATTGATATAATAAGACTGATTGTAGTTGGCCCAGAATGTTTTCTCAGAATTTTTATTTATATAAAAAAAAGTCTTATTTTATTAGAAATAATAAAATAAAGAAATATATAAATAAGGAAATAAATGCAGCTTTTGGTCTCTGCACTGGTATCAATTGATATCAGTTATTGGCAGATATTTAAAGCTATTGGAATTAGTATCAGATCCGAAAAAAAATTGAGTGGTGCATCTCTAGTTGTCTCTATGTGGATTTTCCTCAACATTTCAGTGTCTTTTGGTATCATAAATTATATTAATTGCCAGTGTTGTCAGTTCACTGTTTGATATTCATTACATCGATTTTTCTTGCAGCTTGACCATGCGAGGTTGACACAGACGGAGCTGATGCGGGAGTCGTTCAGACACAATCAGGAGATGAGCGAGCTGCTGCGGCGTCAGGATGAGCTGCAGGAACGTCTGATGGAGGAGGCACGAGCGCGAGAACGGCTGGCTCTGGAGCTGCACCGGGCTGAGGGTACAAAACCACTGTCCTCTGTACTACAACACATGTTGGGAAATGCGGAAATATTAGAGATGATGATATAGGACATTTTCTGAACACAGGCAGTATAATGGATTATTATTTCATCTAGTAATGTGAAGTGGGCTGGTTCAGTTCCCTTTTGAGATCTTCAGTCTCTTTGTGTCATTGGATAAGAGTCCCGTTGTCCGTTGTAGTCTCAGCATAAAAATGCGCCCAATCAGAGATGTGGCAACAAAAAAGTACATTTCTCAACATCTCACTGCAGAAATACAGTTTAAGTTGAGCTTTCTTCTGTTGTGTCATTGGAGAAGATTTAAGCCATCACCAAGTATGACTGAAAAGTGCATTTATACCTTCATATGAAACAAAAGTAAACATTTATTCCAGTGCTGTAAAACAACTCTGAACCAATTTGGATGACATGAGCACTAAAAACAACTTTAAGATCTTAAAGCAGTTAATTCCCATCAATGTCATGTACACCTGGTTCACGGGGGCTTGTTCTCCCACATCTAAAGCTGCATACACAATACAACTGTTGTCCTTTCTTCCATTGGGGTCAAATGTGAGTATTGCCTCCTAAATCAACACTGTGTTTTGTCCTGTCATTTTCTCAGCTTGTGTTGTGTCCTGTTTGTTTTTAGTCAAGCTAATATTTACTTTTCCAAATTTTATAGTCCTATGGCATCTGTTAAAATGAAATATGAGTAAGTTAAAAAATAGCTGGCAGCTTGTGTGACATTCTTTTAATTTTAAGGGAGTGATTCAAATCGATTACGCGTGACTTTTGGGCATCTAGTGGAGGAATGAGTTGTCACTTTTGTGTTGATGATCCAGGTAGCTTAAAGGGATGGGTGTGGTCTATTCAAACAGGTTTTGAATTTAACCAAAGACGAGGCTTAAGCTGCAAAAAGATCCTCCTCTGTATCAAATGTCAGCGAGTACACAGCACATGAATCCATGTGGAAAATGTTGCTTAAAAACACATACATCATAATTATACAGATGATTCAGATGTATTTTATATCGAATTTATATATAAGGTAACTTAACTCACTTTTATAATATAATTGTATTTCAGCATGTGCAATATGTTGATTACAATGGAAATACAAACTGATAAGCATGCCGCATTCCAATTTCCAATTCAAAACTAGTTATATATATTCAGTGTTACTTTCACAAACAAGTGTAAGTATTTTAAATTAATATTATTTAAAAAAAAGTATGAGTAAAGCTTGTATTTGAGTTTTTTTTGCTAATTGACAAACTGAATAATATTATTAATTCACTAATATTTCTTAAACCCTCAAAGCATATCTTTTTCACTGAATCTACACAACTAATTTCTCAACCCTTAGCAAGCCAGGCAATATATTTATAGTTTTTTTGTGAATATATTTTGTAATGCACACCTGTTATTGTTGGTGTGTCAAAGAGCTGTCCCTCCTTAGGCAAACTTGGCCCTCCTATAGTTCCTGGTCTGGGAAAATAAAGTAATCACCTGACTGACAGAGATGGCATTTGGTTTCTATGTAGCTCCAGTTCAACATTACAGTAATCCACCCCATAACCAGTTTGCACTAGTAACACGAGTTAGTTCAGACTTGGTATTATTAGTGGGCCTGTCACAGTAATTACTTCATTGACTTATTGTTCAATAAATGAAAGCTGGAGCAAATTGGCGAGATGTTTGTAATTTTTTTGTTGTGATACAATAAAATGTAATACGATTTGAGCTGTAGATGGTTGAATAAGTAACTTTTATGGCTAAATATCTCTTCATTCTGCTATTAATGTGTTGCAGCTTTTTAATGGCTTTTAATGATACTGTATAATATATTTTGAAACTGGTTTACTGACTTACTGACATTTCTTCTTATTATCCTGCTTTGTGTCAGTGCATAAAGTAGTTTCAATAGTATAATTTTTTGTGATATTTCTCAGTAGCAATAAATCATACTTTAATTTGTTACTGTGACCGGCCTAGGTATTGGATATCAGTGGTTGGATGTTTACTATGATTTTCCTATGAGTGCCATCTCTGTGTCTAATGCTTACTGACCTGTGAACAGTACAGAACAGTAATACAGCAGCTCATTGTGCCTCTTTTAAAGCGAAATGGGTCAGACATTTGAACATTTACTTACACGTTTGTCTGAATGCCAGTGCAATGTTTCCCATGACTGTATGATATTTAAAGGTTCTATATTATGCAAAATTGACCCATGTGAGCTTTTGAACATGTTTATAATGTTGTTACCTCCTCAAAAACATACCTGGAGTTGTGTTTTCTTTCATTCACACTCACTGAGTAATCCTTTATTCTTAACAGCTACCTTTTACTTTTTGTCTTGTAGAGACTGACAATTCCAGGGCTGAAATTATCTAAATGATTCTAGTGAAGGTGTATGAAGTTTAAAAACACAGTGGAGCACTTCCTTTCACCTCATGGCATCACAAGGTGGAACAGAGTGTTTTCCATTTGAGAGAAGAATTCATATAAATATAAATATGCAGGGTTCATGTGATAAACATGTGTGAATGAAACAATAGACAACTCCAGGTATGTTTATAATGAGGAAACAACATTATATCATAGATCACAAAAGAGCGTCATATGGCCCCTTTAACAACCAACTGGAGTTTGTAATCTGAAATTAAACACAGAAATCTATGTAAACCATAACATAATATATTACAGCAAATTTGTTCAACTTTCAACATTTTACCTTTTAGCACAAATGCTCTCTCAAAAAATGCACAATTAAAACCTGAATATTATTATTTTTTATCTTGGTAATCTTGAAGAGCTTAATGTTATTTAAACTACCCACTTAAATATATATTAACAGTTGTGGCCTGTGGTAGGTACAATAACGCTGGATGTTGTTAAACACTCATTCTTCTGGATGGCTGCTCTGAATGCGCTTTAACGAAGCAAGACCAGGCTCAAAGTAATCACCGCAAATTCCTGTGTTGAATGATGCAAGAAAGAGAGACAGTAAATCCCTGTTAAAGTGGTTTGTTTTCAATATACAGTACACCATTGTCCAAAATTAAGTCTATAATGTGTAGAGACTTCTAAATGTCACGCAGTAAGCATGAGCTGGTTTCACCCAGAGTAACTATGGTATTGCAAATAGTAGTCAAGGCACCTGATCAAACTATACTGGTACCCATTACACATGTGTACTGAATTGACTTTCAACTTTATAGGAAACATTGTGAATTAGCTGCTAACAGATCAATTTGTTAATATGACTATTGATCAAACCTGCTTATTTTTCAGATTAAAATGTGAAAGCGAGACTGTTACAGTTTTGTATTGTTTTAGGTGTGATTGATGGCTACACGGGTGAACGAGCTGCGCTGGAGGAGCAACTGCGTCAAAAAGAAGAGCTACAACAGACTTTGGAGCAGGAGCTAGAGGTGAGGGATTATCATCTAATACAATACAACAGTATTTGAATCAACACGATTTGCATTATTTTTCATCCAACATTTGGCTCTTCATGCACCAGTGCTCATCAAAGAAACGCTTAACACAGTGTCAGACAGATATTCGGAAATAGAGCATTTACATTGACCCAACCGGATCAGAACAAGCTGCAGCAGGTCCACAGTTTTTACACTACTAACGTCCATGTCTGCTCTGAGATTAGCAGTTTGCCTCTAAGCAGTCTCTATAGGAAGTGTACGCAGTATTTGCCCTGTTTGAATTTCTATAAAGAACAAATATCCTTTTAGATTAGTGTATCATTTCATGAACATTTGATGTTATACATTTATAATCACTCAACCATGCATAATGGGAAAAAACATGAACCAAGCATGAATAAATCATTAATAGATCAAGTACAAAGCAAAAATACATCAGTCACACACAGATTAGTATGTTTCAGAAGTTTGCCCTCTAAAATATATACTGCTCTCTGCATTAAATATGTGGTACTTTGTGTTGTCAGGTGACCAGCTCTCGTCTGCATGAGCTGGAGCAGGAGCGACTTCAGCTGCAGGAGGAGAGGGAGCTGATGTCACGGCAACAGGAGGCCATGAGGGAGGAGGCAGGGCCCCGAGAGCTACGTATGTACCACTACGACTACAACTACTACTACATGTGTGGATTATAATAAGACTATTGGGAGGTTTAAATATGAAGCAGTGTAATGTATTAGGTGTAACCATTTATTGCTCAAGGAGGAAGTAAAGTTTTCAGTATATTTCAATAAATATTAAAGTTTAGACCATGGGCATGGACTTAACTGTAGCTATAGAGACTATAAATGAATAATAATGACCAGTTTCTTGAATTTACTAATAAAGAGATTGTACAGCAATGTAGATCTTTGTGTTTTAGGTTCCTGTATACATGTTATTATTTTAGCTTGCTTTAACATGACAAAGATACCACTGTTGAAAATCTTGAGCTCCTAATATGTATCTGAGATTGTTTCACTGAGATAATTATTGAACCATAACATGTATCTATTATCAAAAAGGTGTCTCTTGACCGCATGCATTGATAAAATGGTGAGTATTAGTTGTAGTATTTAGGATTAAAACTCTGGGAATATAGTAGTAACAATATTAGATCATCCTCTCACTTCCTGTTTCTTCACTTCACACTGAGACACACTGTTCTCCTCCACTCTTCTGTTCATACAAAGACAGCATGATGAATACCTGTGCTTTCTGATTCTCCTGTAGGACTAGTTGAAGCTGCAATGGTTGCAGCTCCAGAAGCAGGTGTGTCCACTTCACGCATGGCTCGGTCATGTCTCTTTTTTATTTCATTTGTTTAGCTGCGTGACACTTTACGTTTCTAACCCTAATCCAGCGTCTGACCAGCACACACTTGAAGCTTGCTTGCTATGGGCTCACACTTACTCAATGCAATCACTAACCTCGGCTTCAGCTTCATTTGATTGACCTATTGTATGTCTTGTCAGTTTTATGTCTTTGAATCAATATTGTAAGCATATATTAAGGCATGCAAAAAGGGAAGTAAGCTCCAGACATTTATTTGTTTACCGTTTTCCTTATTGTCAATCATCCACAAATTGACCCTATGAAACGATCCAAGTTTAACAATCCTTGGTTTTTAGCATGTTATAAAGATGATTGGCAGTCTAGGAACCTCTTCTCCCCCGCCTGTGTGCGCTTATGGGGCATGGATACTGCAATGTCTCACCTGTTCACATGTCTTAAGCTGTCCCTGCACTTTTGTTACTTTTACTTTTTCATGTTGGCACTAATCCTAGGTACGTGAGGTGCAGGGGGGTAACTCACTGGTGGCATAAAAGGGGCAAATTTGAATCGTGGTGGTGGATGGTGTTGGTGATGGTAATGGGCAGTATTTTGTAGTGATGCTGAATGAGATCTACAAAGAGTCTGATTTTAATTCAAATGCTGTATTTCCTTTCACGCATAGTTGATACATTATTTTGATAACTTTGGTAAACATGAGTAATTTCATAAACACGAATTGTGAAAAAATTATGCATATAACAGGAAGGTGAAATTGATATTGATGTAGACTTCAATAGCTGCAGTGGCAGATGAAGCATTTTGTACTCTGTTGTAAAAGAGCTTGCACATACTGTATTTTATTATTTACTTATTTAGTGATATAATGTACAAAGTTCTAGATATTTTAGATATGTTAAGTCCTTCAAGTTTAGATACTTTAAGTGCTATTAATAGATTTTAGAATGATTATAATTATTAATTCCAAACTGTATCTTTTGAATGGTCAACCGTCCTCAAAATGGCACCATATAACAGGAAGTTGAAACTCATGAATATACATAAACTTCAGACTCTTTATTGGTTCTTTCTCAAGCATCGTCTAACTAATTCTTGTCAAATGTGCATATGCCCTTAACATCCACACACTAACTTGTTCCTGGCTGGCCCCTGGACAGACCTGCTGGAGGAGACGGAAAAACTGATGCAGGAGAAGGTGGAGGTGCAGCTCCAGGCTGAGAAGCAGAGCGCAGATCTCCTGAAGCAGGTGAAGATCCTGGAGGCGGAGCTGGAGGACCAGGTGACCCGTGTGATGGAGCTGGAGCAGACGCAGACCAGTGAGACCACTGACCTGCAGCAGCAGATCCAAGCACTGGAGAAACAGCTCGACAAGAACAGGAGGTTTCTCGATGTGAGTTAAATGTAATTATATCATAAAACAACTTCTGGTAACAATGCAAATCCATGAATACTTCACAATGCCCCAGTGTAGGGCAGTAGTCAGTTAAATGGTGGCACTTTATAATAACTACACTTTATATAAAATACAGCCGCAAAAGTTTTAGAAATTTCAGAATAACAGGTCATGGCAGAAGCCATTTTTTCTGTCCATATCTTGTATTTATTAGTTACGCAATCAGTCATCCCGATTCCTGTAACATGTGGATTTCCACTGAAAGTAGTTACAAATTCAGTGCTGTGCCGTTTGACCCAGATTGAAATGGTTTACTACCCTGTGGTAATGTGTCAGTGTTCACCTCATGAGTAACTCAGACTATTAAAGTGGAAGTAAAAGTGTTACAAAGAGATGGAGTTTGTTACTTATTACCTTCAAATGTGTAATCATCCAATGAGGACTCCATTGACTCTTGATGCTGGAATGTTTCATTTTATAAACACTTTCAAGATGCTAAGATACAGTCAAACCTTTGTTTCTTGAAACTTGCCTGCGTGGAACAAAACAAACCGTTGATCTACAGAAATGTTTGCCCCTAAATAAATAAATAAATAAATAGATCAAAGTCCAGATTTTAATTGTGAAGAAAATGGCAATATATGCTTTAAGAGGCTTTTTGGCATCACTGATTGAAAAGTTTTGCCCTAAATGTATCCTAAGTTGGAAGTACTACTACTAAACCTGATACAATGATACTGAATATTTTCACAAACACATTTGGCTGGGGTGTGGCTATTTTTTACTCCATTGTACGTAGGGTTGGACACATTTTTTCTCATACTGATCATCAATATTTAATTTTGTCTTATTTGAAACAGATAAAAATGTCTTTCAGTATAGATTTCTGGAACATAAACAATACAGACCTTTTATCATTATATTTAACACATAAAATAGTAAAAGGGAGCTGTTAAATTGAAAACAACTGCGTCATGACATAACAAGGTGAAACAGAGCATTTTGAGGGTTACTCAAACATGTGTGAATGAAACAGAACACAACTCTAGGTATGTTTTTGAGAGGTTAACTACATTCTAACATGGTTTAAAGCTCACAAGAGTCAATTTTGTGTAATGTAGGACCTTAATTGTTTTGTTTTTTCCACTTAATTCGCAGGAACAAGCTGTGGACCGGGAGCATGAGAGAGACTTCTTCCAAACTGAGATTCAGAAACTGGAGGATCAGCTGAAGTTGTCTCAGAAGCCTCAGTCTGGCTCTGAGCAAAGAAACCTGGAGGTAACTTGAGAAAACACTTATTATATCTGCACATAACAGTGTTGTGATGATAGTCACAGCTCAACAATGGAGCTGCTGGGATTACCTGAAAGTGATCCCGAGTGAGAACAGGGACTGCGCTGTGTAACTGATGTAAGCTGATGCGAGTTTCCCATATAATAATAATGCCAAACAGCAAAACAGTACAGCAAATACAGTAAGGCTCTAATGGCATGTTACGCTTGGATAGCAGCCTGTAATGTTGTGTAGTCAGAAGCAGTGACAGCATGCAAAAATCAACTGTCTGAGTCAGTTTATTTTTGTAATTTATTTGATAAAGACATAGCTAATACACTGGACAATCTAAATGCATTGTTTTAAGTCCATTGGAAGTTTTTAGTGTTAAAGGTGGAAAGCCTATGTCTGCTTGTCTTCGTGGAAATTATTTTGCTTTGTCTAGAATGTTCCACAGAATAGATTAAATCACAAGAGGACAGTTAAGTTACGGCACTACGCTACATTACAATTCAATTCTGTGGAGAGTCGCCCCAATTCACAGAAGAAATTATTGTATTTTTGAGAAATAGAAACACCCATAATGAATGAATGTTAGATGGACATGTTTAATGTCACACCATGGAACATTTCAAGGAAAGCAATAATATCTCCATGGAGACGAGAAGGTAGCGGACCCTCCACCAGAAAAGTTGCATAGTGCACATTTAAATTCAGAACAGTACAATATAACAAAACACAAAATAACAACAAAGCACAATATTAAATACTTGCAACTTTTGTCTTGATTTCAGCCTGAGTTTCACAAGTTTTTAGATGTTCAAAGCAATCTGCAGTTTTAGGTTGGCAAAAAGAGTTCTGTAATTTCTAATCTCCACAGAACAAAAACAGCTTTATGACATCACAAGATGAAACAGAGGTTTTAGAGTTTTGGAGTTATAGACAGACTATAAATAAAGAGTTACTCCAACATGTGTGAATGAAGCAATACACAACACCTGGTATGTTTCTGAGGAGGTAACAGCATTATAACAAGGCTTAAAGCTCACAAGAGTAAATTTTTGAGTAATACAGAACCTTTAATGATGGTTTTGCTGTGAATCACTCATGTTGCTCTCAAACTGATTACTTCCCTGTCATTGTGTCACAGATTATTTTGAAGAGCTTTCTCGTCCTCTGTTCTTGCGTCACAACATCTGCCAATTACATTTAATTAATTCCCTTAAGAGCAGTGTGAACATGCACTATCAGGTTTAAGAAATAAGCTTCCCAGGGACTTGGAGCTTTGGTGGCTCAACTGGAAAACTCATTTGACGTCATTATTCACTTCTTTTATTTGTCCAATTATTTTTTTTTTATATTTCTTTTTTTCCATTTTATAAACTCATAATCATGGACAACATTCATTTATGAAGAGTTAACTTTACATTATTATTTTCAGGTCAAAGTTACTGCACTTGTTGATCCTGTCCCAAGGCAAGATTCATAGAAAACATTGATTGCACTCTAGAGATTTAATTATGTGACCAAAAGAAACAACAACAAAAACAATGCATTATCTTGATTTAAGTTGGACATTTTAACACTATTTTCTGACCTATGTTATAATGTTGTTTTCTCATCAAACACATACCCAGAGCTGTGTCTTCTTCCATTCCCACTTTATACAAACAAAACCTTGCATTTAGGCAGAGTTCTTCTCTCTAACGAAAAATACTCTATTCCACCTTGTGATGTCATGCGGTAATACAGGAAGTGCGCCACTGGGTTTTTAGACTCTTTACACCTTCACTAGAATCATTTGGATCATTTCAGCCCTGGAATTGCCACTCTCCACTGAACCAAAGGTAAAAGGAGCTGTTAACTTAATAGAGCATTTTGAGCTTTGGAGATGTAGAGAGACTAAATGTGTGTCAAACATGTGTGAATGACACAAAACACAACTCCAGGTATGTTTTTGATGAAGTAACAGCATTATTACATGGCTTTAAGGCTCACAGTCAGTTCTGTGTAATATTTTACCTTTAACCTTTAAGTTGCTTGCTTGTCTGCTTAAATGATTCATTGAGTTACTAAAATACTAAATTCATGAACAGAGCATTGGATATTCCCACTGCCTTTCCATTACTAAGTGCTTCTTCTGCCTTTGCTCCGCCCCTGTGCCCTGTAACTGCCCCCCTGACCTGCTGTACCTCTCTCTCCTTTGGCCATTGCAGGTGGATCGAGTAACCAGACAGGTATTGCTTCTAGATGTATGTAGAGCCAACTGTCCTGAAAACATTTAGTGCTAATTAGTAACCACACCTTTGTCCTCTGCTTTCCTCAATATTGACACATAAGCCCTGTCTCCCTGTGTATTTAACTGGTGCACCTTGGTGGGTAGCACATACACTCCACGCACGGTCTACTTAGCTTTGTGTTGTGTTGTCATTCTTCCACCAAGTCTGTCTATTGTTTCTTTATCCTGTGGAAATATTCTTCATATCCACGATCATGTGCACTGCTAAAGTGCACTCTGCATTAATTGGATAATTCTTCAAGATAATTCTTCAGTCTCGACCGAATCAGTTTGCAAATGAGATTTTTCCATGTGAATTGAAGTTTATATAATTCTGTGAAAAACATTTGTTGTCAGTTGTTCTCACCCTGGTCTGTTCTGACAGTGTTATCCGATGCTCCCACAGGTGGCTCTGTCTGTCCCCATAGGGGGTCTGTGTCCCTTGTCTTTGGCCCTTTTAGCTTTATTATGTAGTGGTGGTAACACTGTTCACTGTAGTGTGTAGTCCCTGAATGAGTCCTTGCTCCCTCTGTCCCTGCACCCTCCTTTCTCAGGTGGATCAGCTGACCTCGCGGCTAGCTGCACATGTACCAGCTCCGCCGCTGCTGCGTGTTGTGAGCGAATCTCATTAAAGCGACTGTCTCCTCTCTCCTCTCCGTCCCCCCTCTCCTCTCATCCTCCTCTCTCCTCTCCGTCCCCCCCTCCTCTCGTCCTCCTCTCTCCTCTTCTCCCTGTGTCAGGTGGAGCAGCTAAACACACAGCTCAAGGAAAAGGCAGACTGGTGCAGTGAGCTGCTGCTGAGCTCGGAGCAGCTGCAGCGAGAGCTGGGCGAGCGCGACCAGGAGATTGACAAACTGGAGAGCCGCATCCGCGAGCTGGAGCAGGCCCTGCTGGCCAGCGCAGAGTCCTTGGAGGTGAGTGAGGCTGAGGCTGAAGCACAGAACAATGGCCACAGAGCAGCACTGATGAATGTGAATGAGGTGACAAACAGCACAGAGACAGCGCACCGCGAGCGAGAACAATGTGTGGGTGTGCTGAAGCCGACCGGCAGTTTGTTTCTGACACTGAGCACGCTAGCAACTGTTAACATTGCCCCCCAGTGTCCAATCAAACACTCAACATCTGAGGCAGCAGATAGAGCTATGCTGTGTTATACATCGGTTTTCATTAGATTAATGCATTTTCCTCACTGTGCTTAAGTGCTGACTATGGCCACAGTTTGACATGTTTGTGTGTGCTGCAGGTTGAACAAAAGAAGCATCATGCATCCAACACAGAGACCAAGCATCCGAGTCTGGAGGCTCAGCTCCAAACTGAGAGGGAGGCTTTGGAGAGAAAAGAGAAGGAGGTACTATAATGTTCTTATGCAAGCATATTTAAAAGATGCAGTATAATCTCAAATATATTATTCTATTGCTTGTACTGGAATATAATATGAAATATGTTCTTTTATTGCTTGTACTGTTGCCCACTGTAAAAGTCTGTTGTTGTATGTCAGATCTGTAACCTGGAGGAACAGCTGGAGCAGTTCAAAGAGGAGCTGGAGAATAAGAGTGAGGAGCTGCAGCAGCTCCAGATGCAGCTGGAGATTCAAAGGAAAGAGATCGACAGCCAACAGCAAGACCTCGACACCAGGGACAGTCTGCTGCAGGTACTAAACTATGTCTGCATTATAATGTATAATTATTACAATGATTAACAGTTTTATTTTAAGAGACACACTGCTGTCATGGTAAAATAAAAGATGAAATAAGCTTAAAAACATCATCCTTTGATTTTGCACCTTTACATTTTGCTACCTTTATTTTTGCTTTTCTTTTTTTTATACTCAAATTAAAAGTCTACCTCTTGGCTGTGTAGACTTTTGGAGTGGCTGCTAATCATTGTATTAATAGGCATCACATTATAACCTTTGATTTTGAAGGTGGTGGAAGAGAAGGACAGGGAAATAGCACTTCTTAATGAACAGATCTCTAAACATCAACACACGGACATTGCCTCTGATAATAAGGTAACACAATATGCATATACGAAATGCAAAAAGGCTATTTCGCATACGCATAGTTTCGTGGTAGTGCAACGTGCTGTGTGTATTTTAGTTTGCATCCATTTTTATAGTTTTGCACCATCACATTTATTGTTGGTTGTTTTTCATTTGTTGTTGTGGTAAGTAACATCACCATATTTTGCTGTGATCTTTTGTTCATTTGATGTGGCATGTAATCTCTGAGTCTGGCTTTTGTATGAAATGAGTAGCAATGTTGGGTCTAAGTGTTGGATCCAAGTACATCAAAGTGTTGACACTGTATGTTCTTGTAGTAGAAAGGCCTTAGACTTAGACACAAATTTGTATACAGTAGCTCATACATTACAATAGAGCAAAATAAATGGTAATTAGTACTTAAGTTCAACACATTCATGATGGTGATGTATTGATTTGAATTATTAAAGGGCCCATATTTTCTGATCTACAGTATGTTATAATGTTGTTTCCTCATCACAAACATACCTGGAGTTATGTTTTGTTTCATTTACACATGTTTTACCCACACACCTTGCACATTTAGGTTTAGTTCTTCTCTCAAATAGAAAACACTCACTCAAACATTCCTCCTCTGTGTTTTTAAACTTCATCTTCACTAGAATTACATGGATAATTTCAGGTCTGGAATTTCCAATCTCCATAGAACAAAAGGTAAATGGTAGCTGTTAACTTGAACACTTCATGACATCACAAGATGGAACAGAGCGTTTTGAGCATTGGAGATGTAAACGGGCTAATAATGGAGGATTACTCAAACATATGTGAATGAAACAAAAACACAACTCCAGGTATGTTTTGAGTAGACAATAGCATTATAATATAAGAGTCAGTTTTTTATAATACCTTTAACTATTGAATAAAAATTAATGCCTGTTTATATTATATCAAGAAAATTTTGTCAAAGCATGGACTCAGAGATTTGTCTGTGAAGCCACTGGTCTCAAAGTCACCTAATTATGAAGTTCTAATATTTGTGGATCATTTTTGTAGGAAATGGACGAGAGGGATGAGCTGGTCAGAGACTTGGAGTCACAGGTAGAGTGTCTCAGAAGTGAACAGCAGCGTCTGAAAAGGGACCATGAAGAAGAGATGGAACAACTCAACGCCGTCATAGACAAACTACAGCAAGATCTGGCCAACATCGAGCAGAAAACTGGAGCAGTGGAAGACTACGAAGAAGACAAAGGTTTAGCAGAAAGACCAACAAATGAGGAGTATGATGAAGTTAAGCAGAAGATGGACTCAGCCACCAAAGAGCTTGACACTCTCAAATCTGAACATGGTAAACTTTTGGACACATATTTGCGCTTGAAGGAAAGTGCCGAAGCTTTAGCCGAATCAGAAAAAGCAGAACATTCAGAAATCGACCTGGAAGATGCTCTCAGGGAAAAGACAGCTGCTCTTGTGGTAATGCAGGCCGAGGTACAGGCACTCGAGCAGAGCGCCACCGACAAAGTGGAGGAGTTGGACAGGCGAATACATGAACTTGAGGCTTTAGTGAGTGAAAGAGATGATGAGTTGAGTCGCTGTCGCTTCCTAGTGGAGCAAACACAAAATTACGCAGATGGTCTCCAGGAAAAGATTTATAAATTAGAGGAAAATCTAAGGGACAAAGTAGCTTCAGCGCTGGTTAGCCAAGCCACTCTTGAGGCCTTCCAACAGCAGCAATCTCCACAACCCAAACACCAGCCTGTAGTATATGATTTTGGTAGCTTCAATATTCCACACTTGGACATCAGTGGGTACAGTCAGACTAGAGGGGGTTCCACAGGGAGAGTGGTCCATCTAACGGAGAAGCTGAGGGAGCTGGAGGTGGGCCTGAGTGGGATGCAGAAGGACCAGGAGCTGCAGAATCAGCTTCTGTCCAGTTCAGAGGAGGATGTGCTGGAGTATGAGCGCAGACTGGCCCTCCTGATGGACCTGCTCAGTCAGATGAAGACCGGGGCCTCCCACAGATCTGCACCAATATTACAGGTAACTAAGACATAAGAGTAGCTCTACACTGGAGTTTATGGTCATAACCTGAGTAAATTCAATATTAGCAAATAAGCTCTTTTCCAGTTGATTTGCTAGTATCAAATTATTCTGTTCCTATCCTCTCTCAGCAGACCCGTTCTTCCTCTGCTGACCAGCCCTCTGAGGCATCACTCACCAAAGAACAACCCCAGAGCTTCAAAGAGAGCAGCCACCTCCAGGGCACGCTCACTGTAAGGAATACTCCCCCTGGTGTCTAATCTTAATAATTTATTTTATGTGGTTTATAATACTTTTTATTTTCTTTTTATTAGGAGAAAACAATAGCAATACAGAGGCTTGATGAGAAACTTCAAATGGTACAATCCTATTTTTTATTTATTTATAAACTAGTTATATAGTTATGTTTTTTATTTTATTTATTTATTTATTTAATATGGACAGTGCATATTAATGAACATCTACAACACTGCAGTGTAAATATGCCAGATGGTAAGACTAACATTGTCATCTCTTGTGCCTAGACATCTTCAAACAGTGGTGAGGAGGCCAGGGTGTCTGAACTCCAAAAAGAACTCAAAATGGCTCAAAGCGAAGCTTCTGCCGCCAAAGAAGAGCTGAGCAGCTGCAAGGACAGTCTGGATAAGTTACAGAAGCTGTTACAGGTAAATATTTTGCACAAAATTATGAAAATATAAAAAATTCTTATTAAATAATGTTTTAAGTTATGTGTAACCTTTTGCTTGTATGCGCTTTTTCTTAAAGGAGCGGGAAATGACTATAGCTCAGCTCAAAGGGGATCTTTTGCAAGTACGTGAAATGATAAAGTATATATAAATATAATTATGTGCCATGGCTCATGGTGTCATCTCACTTTTTAGGCCACTTCAAACAGCAGTGAGGGGTCCAGGGCGTCAGAGCTCCAGCAGCAGCTTAAAGAGGCTCAAAGTGAAGCTTCTGTCACCAAAGAAGAACTGAGCAGCTACAGAGAGAGTGTGGACAAGCTACAGGAGCTGTTACAGGTACTGCAACAAGACCGTTAACAAAATGTATTAATTAAATTAAATATCAACAGTGTTTAAATGAAACACAGTGTATAATGTAACATGCAATCTTGTATAAGACTTGAATATGAAAATAAGAATTTCTATAATGTTTTGTAAAGTTATATGCATGTTTATCCTTGTTTTCAAAGGAGCGGGAAATGACCATAGCCCAATTTAAAGAAGAGCTTTTCAAAGTGAGTGAACAGAGATTTTTTGGTGATTTTTTATTTTTTTTTCTGACTGTATTCATTTGTGCTTTAGGCTAAAGAAAATGAGGACAGAGGCAGCTTTACAGAGGTCCTTCAGAAACTCGAAGAGGCAACAAAAACTGCAGCTTCCACCAAAGACGAACTCAACAGCATCAAGCAGCAAAATGTGGAACTGGAGGATGAGCTTAAGTCTAATGAAGTGACCATTTCCAAACTAAAAGAGCAACTCCAGGAGGTCAGGAAGAATGTGGAGAACACCAAAGAAGAACTAATCGGGTACAAAGAACAAACTGCAAAACTACAAGATGAAGCCAGTGAGCGCGAGAGTTTGATTTCAAGTCTCAAAGTGGAATTACAGGAAGCACAATCTGCTTTGGTCAAAGAGACAGACATCTCATCTCCTCCTTCACCATCTCCATCTCCCCAGCCACCATCCTCTTCGTCCTCCTCTATCACTCAGTCCAAAAAGAAAGGGGTAAAACAGCCTGCTTCAAAAGCCAACAGCGCCAAAGAAAAGTCCTCTCTCTCCAGGAAAAACTCCTCTTCTAGTCACTCGTCCCACAAATCACACAGTCTGAAGTCCAATGGCAGCACAGAGCAACATCACGTTATAGATGCATTCACACAAACAGAAAATTTACAAATATCCAATCAGGGCGCAGTTGAGTCTTGTGAGACTAAAGATGAGGTGGAGGAGGTGATCACGAAGTTTCAGGAGAAGATCGAGCAAATGCAGGAACTTCACGCAGCCGAAATATTGGACATGGAGTCGAGACACATTGCAGAAAGTGAAAATCTACGGCGAGACACACAAGCGCTGGAGGACGAATGTAAGGCGCTGAAGACAGTCATCGAAAAACTGCGATCAAATGAGGTACATATTATACAATATGCATTTCTATGATTGTTACATCACTCAGTCTGTAGACCCAAAGACTATGCAGTGGCCATTTCAAACAGTGACCTTCCAGATGAATACTGTCTGCTTTTTTCATTGTAATTGTAAATTGAGCTTACCTAGAGAACACCAGGTACTCATATTCAAACTATGCGATAATGAAAATGTCAGGAGATTTAGTGTAATGTAAGGGCATAGAGACATGGGTTTTCTGATTACATTAGAATTATACAAATACATAATTTAAATACTCAAGCATGAACTGTATATATAAATGGGTATAGCTAACCCACTGGCTGCCGCATTCCGCTTTCTTCCAGCAGGAAATGTTCATGGAGGCACTTCAGACTCAAATTGAGAAATTGTCGCCCTTTTCTCTAGTTAATGACTGGAGCCGAATGTCCAGTCTATGTACTAAGTGTGCCCAGGCATATCATAATTTTATGACAATAAAATAGCATTTGTAATTGTAACACTTATCTATAAAAAGTGCTGTTCTCTATCTCAGGCTTCATCGGTAAAACACGAGCATTCACCGTCCCAGTTCAAAGATGGCTACACCAGTGGTAAGAGTATCCCCTTGAAAACATTTAAACTTGAATTTAACACGTAACATTATTCATTTGTGTTTCACTGGTTGAATTTCAGACAGTAGTTCTGACTTCAGTCAGCGTACAGGATACGACCTCCCCAATCTCCAGCATGAGTACAGGACCACTCCAGAGGGTGCAAGGAGAGACAATGATGAGACGTTACCAGATCGGATCAAGGTAGAATGAAAACTGTCGTATTATATTATATTATGCTGTATGAACAAATTATTCCTTGATCATATTTAGGGTTTCTTATATTGGCAAAGTGTTACTAGCTAAAATACTAGATAATCCTTTAAAAAGTATATGTTTACCCAGGAATTTATTCACTTTTATTTCAAGCTTATTATGGTAATTATGATATTCACCTTTTGTTTACAATGTTCACACGTAATGTTATAATAAGGAATACAAGTGTACCTTATTTACAGCTATCTACTTGATAAAGTGAAAACAAGAGATAAAGGAGGTTCAATTTGTATCATCCGCCTACACACATGCTTGCACATGTTCAACTGTACATATTAATTTATTTTTTTGTAATGATAACAATATAGTTTTGCCATCGTAGCTTGAAAATGTTTGGGAATATGAAAAACTGTTCTTAATTCAATGATTTCCCTGTAGACATTGCTCCGTGAGGTCCATCAAGAGGGCATGCAGGTGCTGTCCCTGTCAGAGCTGCCCCTGTCTGAAGCTGATCCCAGTGCTCAGTTCAATGTCCAAGGCTGGATCAAGGAACGTGACGCCCTTCTGTCTACTGTGGAGTCTCTGAAAAGCCTCATCACCTCCATGCAAACACACTCACAATCACAGGTACAAACACAACTTTACAGGAAGCCAATGCAGATTAAAGTAAATGCACATATTGGCCAGATTTTCACTTCAAAACTGCGACACACCCAGGGTGGGGTGGTTTGTACAAATAAAACTGAGAAAAGAGAGCGTAACATTGTCCATTCTCCACTAACTTTTGGGATTTCTGTTTTCATTTTCAAGCATTTTTTAATGTATTTTGGCTAAACAAAATATAATATACACCCCTCTTTACTGTTGGTGAGGATCAGATTGGTCAGTTGGTTCTGGTATAAAACTGGGACAAGTCAATGTTTTTTTTGATAAATCTGCTAGGACAGGGGACATAGAGCTCAAAACTGGGACTGTCCCGGGTAAATAGCGATGTCTGGTCAGCCTACATTTCAGCAACATTGAATTTGCATCATAACTTAGATATACATTTTTTGTTTACTTTTTGCCTGTAATTTTTGTGGCTACTAGCTCATGTTTGTCAATCATTACTAAAGTTGCCTTGGTTAGAATAGAAAAATAGCAAATGTCTGGCACACCAGTATAATATTTGAAGGAATTCTTGATGATGAAGCTAGAAATCTCTCTCATGCTGATGGTATATTATTTAATTAATTTTGTCATAGGAGGTAAAAAATGCCTCTTTAGAAGCCTGTCTCTTAAATGACATTTTTTATTCTACTTGGATTTCATGTTTGTATATTTGATCATCATAGACATCTGTTGGTGTGGACTGGCGCGGGCAGCTGCTGGATGCTGTGCAGAAGGTCTTTCAGAATGAGAGAAGCGTTTTGAAAAACACTTTGTACAGCCAACTGGACCTGCTGGACACCAGCGACGCAATCATCCACCTCAATCAGCTCGAGCAAAGACTGGCTGAGCAGGTTGGCAAATCTCCTGCTATCTTTATGTTACTAAAGTCCTCTTGTCTGTGTGGGTGTAGCCAGTAATCAGATAACAATAACAGGTATTATTTTTTTTGTTTGTGCTTATGATATACACAAAATCAACTTTGATCAAAACAACTGGTGATGTGTGTTAATTAACAGATTTTTAGAAGTACATCTACTTGCATAATTTTCCTTGCTAAAACCTGCACAGTATAGAGGACATAAAATTACAGAATTAGAAGTAAATAAATACAAGAATACATTTAGAAAAGTATTGCATTAAATGGTGAATAAACATATAAATGTGTAAATAAACAAATGCATTTACACATTCATGCATACATTCTGCAGATAAAAAAGCATATATTGAAAAATAAAAATCCTCATGTATGTATTTATTTATTTATTTACACATTTATATTTTTAGTCACCATTTAATTCAATAATTTCCAACATTTATTCTTGTGTTTATTTATTTTTAATTATGTACTTTTTTGGAGTGAACAATCAGAAAGAAATCAGATTACTCATGTGATGTAACTGTATATGTGACATTTTAATCTTCTGCAGTAATAGGCCATTGTTAGTTAACTGAAGTGTAAACTAAGATACAGACAGCGATGGACAACACTGATATAACTTTCACACACTCATTTATAGATTTGATTTATTACTTTGTTTTCTTTTGTGATGTGTGCTTTGTTTTGACATAGTAATTAACAGTGTTTACTTTTTAGGATGCTCAGCAAAGGGAAGCGTTTGGGCTGCTCCATAGCGCTGACCGGTCCAGTCTCCTTTCTGAAATACACCAGCTGCGAAGTCAAATCGAGCAGCTTCATCAAGGTAAACTTAATTAGCTATTCTTGATTTATCCACTTAATTTAAATACCGTATTTTTTAAACATATAACATGTTTTTGTAAATAGTGAAAAGTGCACTGTGTAAGTTTTCTTGTGGAGGGTCCGCCATCTGCTTGTCTCCAGGGAGATGTTGTTACTTTGTCTGGAATGTCCCAGGATGACTTTTGTACTTAAAATGTGTTTTTATTGACTTAAAATCTTGCATTCTTACTATGAGTGGGCTTGCCTCTCCAAAGATTTGACATGTAACTTAGCCCTATGCTGTCACCTGCTGTCTCTGTGGAACATTTCAGTCAACATCTCCATAGAGAGAAGCTGGTGACCCTCTATCAGAAAAGTTACACAGTGCACCTTTAAAATATAATATTACTATAAATTGGAAAACGTTGCAAACAAATATTGAGACTTTTGTTAATGTTTTAATCTGATCTTTTAACTTTTCTTCTCATCTGTATTTACTGCACCTCATATATTTAGTATTTTTAGAATTGATTGCTTTTTACTAATGCTTTTTAATCTAATTGAATGATAATCCCACATTTCTTTTCTGTTATTTTAGGTGGTGACCCTGCGACAGTATTAGGTGCAGAGTTCAGTCTGAAGGGGCACCCTGAGGTGGGGAGCGAGCGGGTGCTGGTGGAGGAGCTGAAGACTGAATTGTCTCAAACCAAACTGGAATTAGAGACGACACTGAAGGCCCAACATAAACATATCAAAGAACTCGACACTCTAAGGTTTGTACTAATATCTCCAAAAAGTGATGAAGATGGGTGAAAATGAATTATGTTGTTAAAGGTGCACTATGTAACTTTTCTGATGAGGTGTCTACAACCTTGTCTCTATGGAGATGTTATTGCTTTGCCGGGAATGTTCCTGATTAAACTTTCTACTCAGTTGTTTTTATTGCTCGAAAATAACTTGGTAAACTTCCTTAGCATTCCTGCTTGCTGTCTCCAAAGATGTGACCTGTAACTTAGCATCACCTGCTTGTCTCCATGGAGATAAACAAGTTAATGCCATACTGTAGAACATTCCAGACAATTAAATAAGAAAACTGCACACTGCTCTTTTTAAATGAGTAATATGTGTGTTGTCCAAAGGGCGGAGGTGTCACAGAAGGCCTCCGAGGTGGATGCCTTGAATGACCAGCTGATCGAGGAGAAGAAGAAGAGCAGAGAGCTGCAGTGGGCCGTGGAGAAGGAACGCTGTCGAACTGGGAGGAGCGAGGAGAGCCAACGAGAGGAGCTTGAGGTGAGCTTTGTGCAGCTGCCATTTTGTTTCTGATCAGCAATTACAAGGCCTTAAAATGCCCTTCAAAAACTATACCGGTACGAGCACAATTACTGAAATTGAAAATCCTTTGTATCCAGATTAGCATGATGTAATTATTTCACTGTTAAAGAAAAACTTTCTTTGCTTTGGTAATTTACTACAATATTACAGGTTTTTACCAATTATTTGCTTTTCATATCCATGAGTTTCAGAATGATGAACATTTTTGACTGTTGCTGTAAATCAACAATGTAAAATTAAGTCTTATAGCTTTTTAATGGAAAAAATATTATGCATAACAGGAAGCTGAAACCAACAAACACCTGTATGTTACTCTTTAAATGGCAAATATCAATTCTAACTTGTATATTATTTTAACATGTACTTTCATAATTACTGTCTGATGTGTGTCTCTCCGCATAGGACCTCCAGTTGGACCTCGAGGAGCAGAGGTCTGTGGTGTCACGCTTAAACTCTGAGTTGGAGCAGCAGCGTGAGGCCTCCGCTCAGTCGTCACAGCAACTCGAACAGGAGCGCCTCAGCCTCCAGAGACGCCTCCAGGAGCTCCAGGTGCAGCTGGACACAGAGCGAGCCAAAGCCCAGGAGATGAGCTCCGCCCTGGGCCGTGAAAGGGAGCTACGCAGGGGTGGGTCCACAGATGGTGCTGGTCCCGGCACTGCAGAGGGAGGAGAGGAGGAAAAACATGGAACAGAGGAGGATGGAACCATGTTGGAGAAACTGCAAAAAGAGCTGGATGACAAACACGCACAGGTTTGTAATCACAATAGGCATTTTACTGGATACTCGCTGTACGTTTTATATAATTGTATAATAAAGATATTAAGTATATCACACTTTACAACAAATAATCTTTCTCATATAGGTGGTCCAACTCTTGGGTCAAGTTGAGGCGCAGAAACTGGAGGTGGTGCGTAAAGACGAGGAGCTGACTTTGGTGAATCAACGTTCGACCCGGGATCACGAGGCTCTGCTGGAGGCTCAGGCCCAACTGGAAAAGGTCAAAACCCAAATGAGACAGACCCAAGAGCAGCTGGACAGAGAGGTGCAGAGGGGCAAACAGCTGGAGGAGCAGAAGAGCAGACTGGAGCAGAGGCTGAGGAGAGGAGAGGACACCGGAGATGGGGCTGGACCTATGCAAGCCGAGGGCCACACTGTGAGTACTGACTGTCAGCAACTGTTATTTATGTTGTAGTCCTAATGCATGAAGTCTTAAGTAGCAAAACAGGGTAAATTAACCACCATCACACCATTGTTACTGAGCTGTAAGTAAATTTCTTTTTACCTTAGAAATTGCAAATGTTTTTGTGGTGAACATAAAGGCATGGCTTTTGTCTTTTTTTGTTTAGAAGAAGCTAAAATATAATTCTCTCCTTAATACAATAAAGTAATAGTGTCGATATAATCACTTAGCGCTATAAATGTTCAAAATCTCGTGACACAATTGAAGCTAATCAAATGTTATATAATGTATGACAAATTTATCTTGTAGATAAATAAAAAAAAATCATTCTGATTATATTTGTGACAGTTATACTACTATTACTACGAGATCTGAAAATGATGTTAAACAAATGTTAAAGGTGCACTGCATAACTTGTCTGGCCTGTCACCTGCTTGTCGCAATGAAGTGTTATTATTGCGTTGTTACAGAGATCGCCTCTTCACAAATCTGACCTGTAATTTAGCCTATTGATGGAGATACTTATATTTAAAAATATATTCTTATTTTATACTGTAGGAGAACATTCCAGCCCCAAGCAAAAACATCTCCGGTAATTGCATATTTAACCCCCCATTTTATCTTACAGACCCAGTGGGAGAGCGAGACCTCAGACCGGACTAAGGACTGGGTGATGCAGCAGAAGACCTCAAGTCCGTCATCTCCTCTGGACCTGACTGGATCTGGTCCCAGCTCAGGTCTGCACCACGGGCCCTGGCGCACGGTCGACAACATCCTGGGAAAACTACACCTGGTCTCCTCTAAGATCCATGGCCTCGTCAACAAGGCTGCTGGAAGGTACTGAGCAGAGTTAAAATAGATCCCCGTTTTATATTTTTTATGTATCATAACCATAACTTAAAATACTTACTTTATTTGCTGTTATCTCTCTCTGTAGACCCACTGAGGTTGACAGTGAAGAGCTGTCCTGGGTTCAGTCCAACATTGATGAGGTCATTTCAATGTTAAAGCAATTCCCGGGTCTCCCTCCCCTCCCAGAGGCAAGTCTTTTTACAATTTTGTTTATCTTTTATCTTCACTTTCTGAATATTACTTTTTCTACTTTGGAAGGACTGAACAGAAACCCATACAATACATATGCATAAATGTATGAATGACATTTTTCTATAAACACTTAAAACAGTGAACTAGTGCCACTCTGCCTTGTAAACATGGGTACTGGTACAATAAGAAGAAGAAGAAGAAAAAGTAGATGAATGTACACCTTATAATGATTCATATTTATTTATTCATACATGCTTTTAAAGGAGCGCAAAGATGTTTTACAGTCTTTAAACAAACCCAGTGATTTCACTGATTGACAATTATATCAGAATGCAAACACTGTAATATAAACAATATTAGTTTAAGGGTGCATTGTGTAACATTTCTGGTGGTCAAATGCTTTTCTTCATGGAGATGTTATTGCCTTGTCTGGAATGTTTCACAGTATGGCATTAAACCTTTCTACGTCCATGGGGACCAAACCAGATCAAGTTACAGGTCAGAACTGTCCAGAGGCAACCCCGCACAGTCAGAATACGTGTTTTTTTTTAGGTATTTTTGAGCTATAAAACCACCTATAATTGAATAAATGTAAGTTAGAACTGTTTAATGTCATACTGTGAAACATTCCTGGCAGAGCAATGACATCTCCATAGAAACAAGCACGTAATGGACCCCCAACTAAAAAGTGACATAGTGCACCTATAAGTAAATTTTTTTATTACCAGTTTGATCATGTAGCTCTGATATTCCTCCCTGTCTTTGCTGGTGCATCTTGTTTGTTTATCCCCACTGGTGCATCTGCCGCTCTGCTCTGTTTGACCACACGCTCGTCTCCACAGAGCTCCTCTTTGGCCGGTGGCTCCAGCTCCCTCACAGAGCGGCTGCTGAGACAGAACGCAGAGCTCACAGGATTCGTCAGCCGTTTGACCGAAGAGAAGAACGATCTGAGGAACCAAATGCTGAGACTGGAGGAGGAGCTACGGAGATACAGGCACAACGCTCTGGGCTCCACTGACGCTGTGAGGACTCAGACTTAGACAAACTTTATTGATCCACAAGGGAAATTATTTGGACACAGTAGCTCACACATTACATATATTATAATAACAAAGAGCCACAATATAAATTCAAAATAAGTACTTAAAAATAATAGTAATACAAATATATCTTGAGTGAGTACAACAAGAGCTCATAATGCAGTGTGGAACTTAGCTCAAAATTACACAAATATTTTACAGACAGAGTTTAATATGTTAAATTAAATTCTGGATAAAAGCTTCTTGGAAGAGTGGCAAAATGTTGTCAGAATAAAATTTTCTTTTGCTATGGAACCTACCTGGACAACTAATTACATAGACATCAATTTAAATAATAAAAAAGTGCAAATTTACCATGACCTACATTATAAAACCAGTGGATTTACAACATTTGTTTGCATTAGATAAAATGTTACTCTTATAGTTTGTTCTGGTGGTTTTCTTGTTTAACCAAAAATCTAAATATAATGAAGCCTAATAACATGTGGTATTTTAAGTACTAATTGTATTATTCAATGCAAATATTTATTCAAACAGAAATGGATCTTGATCTAGTGGTTAAAGGTGCACTGCATAACATTTCCAGTGGAGAGTCCGCCACCTGCTTGTCTCCATGGAAATAACTTTGGATTGCTTTGTCTAGAATGTTCCACAGTGTACTTTAAATAAGGGAGACAAGCAGATTGCAGCTCTACGCTACATTAAAGTTCGGATCTGTAGAGAGTCGCCCCTATTCACAGGAGGAATTATGGTATTTTTGAGCAATAGAGATACCAGTAATGAATAAATGTGAGATAGATATGTTTAATGTCAAACCATGGAACATTCCAGGCAAAGCAATAACATCTCTATGGAGACAAGCAGGTAGTGACCATCAACCAGAAAAGTTGCATTATGTACTGTTTCTAATCTAAGTTTGTTCTCCTGGTTTAGATGAGCAGCCGGAGATCAGGGCAGAAGGGGGACAGCTCCAGTGTGCTGCTGTCTCAGGAGCGTCAGGCCTGGGCCCTGGAGAGAGCCAGACTCGAGAAAGCTCTACTTCAGGCTCAGAGTCAGATAGCCCGACTCAAAACTGAAGTCAAGACCGAAACGCTAAGGGAAATCAGCGGACCTGAAGCTGACAATGCTGCACTAAAGGTAATAACAGCTCATTTAATTTTACATACATCAGGCATTGCATTATGACCAGTAGAATAAAACAGATGAGTGGTTTTCAGAGTCTAGAAAGTAATGATCTCATACTCTGTCTCTGTATACACTTGTGTCGTCTCTCCTTAGAGGATGTATGGGAAGTACTTGAGGTCCGAGAGTTTCCGTAAAGCTCTGGTCTATCAGAAGAAGTACCTGCTGCTGCTGTTGGGAGGGTTCCAGGAGTGTGAGGAGGCTACTCTCATGCTCCTGTCCCGGATGGGCGGACGACCTGCTCTGTCCAGCCTCGAGTCCTTCAGCCAGCGCCGCAAAGGGCTCACGCGCTTCAGATCTGCAGTCAGGGTCTCTATCGCCCTCTCCAGGTGAACACATGGAACTCACACTCTTGGGAATTAATGCTGTCATAATTCATTTCAAAACTATTACTATGCATAATTATCCTCACTAAATATTCCAGCAATGATTTATTAGACCTATTGATTTTCTGAAGTATAATTGTTGTTAATGCACAACAACAAAGGTGCACTATGTAACTTTTTGGCTGGATGTCCGTCACTTGTTTGTTTCTATAGAGATGTTATTGCTCTGGCTGGAATGTTCCACAGTATGACTTTAAACTGCTCTTCCTTACATTTATTAAATTACATTTGGTTTTATTGCTCAAAAATACTTAGAAAAACAGGCATTCTGACTGTGAACAGGGTTACACCTCCACAGATCTGACCTGTAACTGTTTGGTTCAGTCTCCATGAAGATAGAAAGGCTTAATGCCATACTGTGAAACATTCCAGACAAAGCAATAAATGGATAAAAGCATTTGACGGACCCTCCACCAGAAAAGTTACACAATGCACCTTCAGTGCTGTCATAGTTTATTTCAAAACGACTTACGCATAATTGTCCTCATAAAATAGTCCGACAATGATTTGTTAGATGTGTTGATTTTCTGAAGTTAATGCACAATAACAATTATACTTAATCATTTTTATTATTATCTTTATAATAGAGTTTGGTTATGTATCCTATTCTTATATCGTTTCCTGTAAACATTACATTACATTATCATTTGTTTTGTTAATTTAGTCTTTATTTATGTTGCATTTCCTTAATTATTGTCTGTTGCTTTTGAATAATGAAGCTATAAAAAGAATTCCATTATTTTCTTTTTAGGATGCGTTTTCTGGTGAAGAGGTGGCATAAAGCGACTGGGATAAGCAGCTCAGCATCGCCCACAGTCACTAAAAATGGCTCAGGTCAAACTTTAGGTAAAAAATTCATTTTATAAAGCCAGGACAAATATTTGAATGGTTATTAGTAAAGTACAGAGAAGTCTAAAATGTATTTTATTTGTTTATATTAGGTACTGATGTGAGAGACTCGCCTTACCTTCGCCCGGGCAGTGTGGAGACTCAGAGAGACAGAGGAGGAGTCTCCAGTAGCAGAGGACGCAGTGGAAGGGAGTCCCCCAGATCAGCTGTCTCCCCCGCTCAACACAGGTACAGTAAACAAATAATAAACAGGAAAACAAGAAGAAATCGATAAATCACAGACTAATTAAAGGACTGTATGTCAATTATATAAGAGAACCTTTATTTGTCCCACAATGGGAACATTCTCTGCCATGGTTCAGTAGTACCCATAGACTTTATAAAGAAGCGGACAAAGGGAGGCCAGCAGTTATACGAACAAGTTTGGAGCCAAGTTCTATATTAGGAACAGGAATTTATTTACGGACAAAATAGCAAAATAGAAACACCAGGATCATGTAGAACTGGTTAATACAAACATTTTAGGACCAAAATGACGACACTCACTGCAGCAGACACAGAGAAAGGTGAAATTTTTTTTATGTAAAGTCAACTAGAACCAGAGTCGATGGAGCTGGGAGCACCCTCATGCTCACTTTCAATGTTGAAATTGAAAATTGCCTTAGAAGGTGAATTATATAAATTGCCCTTATTTTGATGCTGACTGATTCTACTGGTTGGAGAGGGGGTTTTGGTTTTGACCACCATTAGCAACCTTTTTATCGTTATCTCATAGGCTAACCATGAAAAGCTTTAATATGTTGTGTTATATCATATGTGCTGCATTATATTAATGATTGTTTTCTCCATCACCTGTATCTGAAGGTACCACGTGTCCGGGGAGCACGGCCCTTTCACCTGTTCTCATCTCCAAAACTACGACCCAGATCGAGCGCTCACAGACTACATCTCCAGACTGGAGGCTCTGCAGAGGAGGCTGGGGAGTGTCACATCAGGTGAAATAACTTTACTGAATGAACCGATGTTGTTAATGTTTAAGTTTATACAAATGATTATTCTGGTCTAAAGGGAACTAAAGATGTCAATAGTCCAACTTGATGGACAGGAAAATACTATGAGATTGTTACAAGTGTATTTTTCAAAATCTAAAATCAATCAGATGACTAAATGGCAACTCCACAGGTTTTTTGATTGTCATATAATTTTTTGCAATTCAACACACAGAAATGGGTTTAAAATTTGGATATGCAGGATTTTTACCTTTTTATTTAAACAATGCACCCAATAAAATGTGCATATTTTTAAAACAACATTTACAGCATGATTGGTAATAGAATATTTTTATAACCTCTAATATCAAGTTTGTTAAACATGTGTGAATAAAAAGAAACACCACTCCAGGTATGTTTTTGATGAAGAAACAATACTGTAACATAGATCAGAAAATAGCGTAATATTAACCTTTAACTATAAACTAATTATTGTACATTTTCCTCAGTACTGATGTGTCTTTTTCCTCCACAGGTGCTTCTTCTTCATATGCGCCGTTGCACTTTGGCTTGAGGAGGTAGATGCTGTGGAGGTTACTTTGGCTTGAAGAAACTCAGATGCCTTTTGATGTGCTGAGCGTTCTGCTGTTTTCTACCATTCTGCTGTGGACTGTACTTTCATGTGGACCAAACGCATTTTTTTATTAGTGTACGAATTGTTGTTATCAGGCTTTTTGTCGCCAGCACTTGAAAATAACGGCTATGTTTGTAATTAAATCTGCCTCTCTGTTGTGGAAGATCAGTTGTGTATATTTGTCTACTGCTAATTTAAGACTTGATTAATTTATACGTATGTTTTTGCTGAATGGGAGCGTTGTGTTGAGAGTGGGTGGGTTTACTGTCATGGAGGCTGCTACTGGATCCTCACTACACTGTGTTTTGTTTAGGGCGGAAAGACGACATTTGTAGAGAACGTATTTTTGTAAAGCCCAGGACCTATGAATTTTTGGGGTATTTTGTCAAAAACTGAATTAAAGAGGAATACACTATCTTAAAAGGTTGGTTTTCAAATGTTTGTTTATTTGCATCTGGAAACAAGACAGAAAGAGCTTCATGATAATACAAAAATAACATGTGAATTTACTAGGGCCTATGTTTACAAATATACATCTGTCAGAGCAAAGTATGAAGTAGAGTAACAAATTACTATCTGCTTATAAAACAGTGACAGGACAAAATAGTTGTGGTTTTGCCATAGCGATTAACAATTTAAAACAAACTATATCTTTGAATTGGAAAAAGATCTCAAACATTGCCTATAACTGAAAGCTGATACCCATAAAGTGATTATTTATTTTGTTCTACACAATTCAAAGCAACACATTTAACCTGTAGAAACTGAAGTGTTTTAATCAAGTAACTGATACATGTGACCTTTTCCCAACTTGAAATTTCTTTTAAAGGTCCTATATTACACAAATTAATTCTTGTGAGCTTTGAGCCATGTTATGTTGTTTCCTCATCAAAAACACATCCAGAATTGTGTTTTGTTTCATTCACACGTTTGAGTAAACCTGGTTTATTTGTCTACCATCTCTAAAGCTCAAAATGTTCCTTTTGCCTTGCCTTGCCTTTTCATGTAGTGGTAGTTTTCAAGTTAACATCTACCTTTTACCTTTAGTTCAATAGAGATTGGGAATTCCAGGAATTAATCCAAATTAAGAAGTAAATTAATTAATCACTGCATTTATATACCGCCTTTCAAGACATCCACAGCACTGTACAGTTCATTATTCATTCACTCCACACTCAGCAGTGGCAAGCTACTACACAGCTGCCCTGGGGGGATGAGGCTGCCAGTTTACGCCATCAGCCCCTATGACCACCAACAACACTTGTGCACACACCACTTTCATACTAGGCAATGTAGGTGAAGTGTCTTGGCTAAGGACACAACAACAGTTTTTACCACTGGTGCCCCACTGTGGCATCTGGAATTCCCAGCGGTCTCCCATCCAAGTACTAAACAGGCCCGGCCTTGCTTTGAGATGTAACGAGATCAAGCAAGAGCCAATATGGCCACTACAAGTTGGTATGGCCAAATGATTCTAATGAAGTTGTATGGAGTTTAAAAACACAGTGGAGCACAAGAACTCAGCTCAAATATGCAGGTTTTGTGTGGTAAACGTGTGAATGAAACAAAAGAAAACTTCATGTTTACGATGAGGAAACAGCATTATAACAAGTCAGAAAATAGCGTAATATGGGCACTTTAAATAAATGTTTAAATAGGATGGATGTTGTAGTAGAAAAGCACCACATGTAAGGCCAGGGGCAGTCATTCGTCAGAAGAAAGTGCATATTTTCCACACAGGTTTTTTCTCCTTTGATTGAAATAGTCTCTCAGAGTTTCCTCCTCTTGTATCTGATGATGGGGTTGTGAGGCGTGTGGATCATTGTCGTGTAGTTGATCGTTGGAAAGTAACCGTCAACAAGATCAAACTCGTACAGACGCAGCATCGTGGACCAGATTGTTTTGATTTGAACGTAGGCAAAGTTTTCACCGATGCATCTATGACGACCTGGAAACACCATAGTTATAGATTAGAGTTTCAATCATTTTACTTTTGATAGTGTGCCATGCGTGTCCTTAATCATGTATTCAAGTGGGCAAGAAGGCTCACATAGATCACCGTCTAATATTAATAAATAGGCAGAGGTTCCACTTCTGGGCACCTACGATCTTGGGGCCTGGGACAACAGACCCCTTTATCCCCCTGTTGACTCCCCTAATTAAAGTGATTCTCAAACTTTTCACATCATTTAAGAAAACATTGGGCTTTCTGCTCTCAACCCGGTCTATAATAGGCCTTGTTTGGGTCTGGCTGAGATCTAGTAGTACTTAGAGCAAAGTAACAGAACTCTAGAAGTCTTTATTTATCATGTAGTTTGAGAAATTCTTACCAGCACCAAATGGGATGTAGGCAAACTTCTCCCCCGCTGCAGGGTTGTCATTGAGGTAGCGATCAGGGTTAAATTCAAGTCTTTCTTTCCAAGTATCATGCAAACGATGGTTCACAGTCGGAGACACACAGACTTGGTGTCCCACAGGGATGGTGTAACCGGCAGCCGTCTGTGAAAATATTATAAATATTCATGAATGTGTGTAATGTAATAAATACTTCATATATAGTGAGTTAATAGGGTTTATATGATACCTGGAGGGAGCGAGCCATCCTCATCATCGTCATAATCGGAGGGCGAAGGCGGAGAGTCTCTTTCAAACAGCGCTCCAACAAACTCAGGTCTTTCAGCTGCAACAAAAACAAACAGACTTAAGAAAAATATAACTCAAAACACAAATCATTTTAATAAATACAATAGACTTGCTGTAAAATAATGTAAGAACCATTTAAAATGTCCAGGGAGAAATCAATATTATGTAAATTTAACAAATTATAATTTGCAAAAATCTGTGGAGTCCAGCAAAATTACAAGTTGAATATGTAGCTAAGGTGATCAAAAAAGGTCTTAAATCATGATAACTTAATAACTAGTAGATTCAATCAATTCCATTAATTACAGAAATGTGGCATAGGTTACATTTTGCTTGTAACCAATAGACTACTGTGTATTTCAAGAATTATAATGAAAACCCTAGCTTACAGTGGGCTTTAAGCATAGAATGTGTATTTAAATGGACATAAATGGACCCGCTACCGTGTTCCCAATAGGAAGTGAGGGGGCGCTTTCCAGTTGACTCTACACTGAAAAACTGCCACCCCTCTCGCTCTTTCTGTAACTGCTGCAGCAAACCTTGTCATTTTGGTCTTGAGATATTCATATTAACCCGCTCTACATGATTCTGGTGTTTTATTTCGCTATTTTGTCTGTCTGGAATATAACTGCTAGCCTCGTGAGCTTTGTTTGACTGGAGCTGAACTCTGTGGGTGATGTCACACTCACTTAGTCCACTTCTTCATACAGTCTGTGGCTTTAACTCACTGACCCTGTTTAATGTATCAAATTCTAGTCTGACCTGGTCGAAGTTGAGCGGGGGCAGGTCTTCTCCGCACACGGCCTTCTGCTCAGCGAAACATCTGTCCTGAAGAGATTTGTCCCGCGCCAAAAAGAAGCCCATCCAGGCGGAGGTGGTGGAGGACGTGTGCTGACCCGCCAACAGCAGCCCAATCAACATCCCTGCGATCTCATTATCTGTCAGAGGGCGTCCATCTCTGAAGAAAAGAAAATATTTTAATTTGAAATACATAAATAAGTGTTAAAAGAATAGTTGGGCACAGTGGTTTTAAATGTAAATTACTTGTAGGTGGCGTCCACGAGAGTCTGCAGTATGTCGTCCACTTTCTCTTCAGACTGCCTCCGCTTCTGAATCACTTTGAAGAAAATGTTTTTGATTTCTCTGTGAGCTCTGTCTCGTTTCCTGTAAAGAAGTTAGTAAAGTTACATTTATACATTTACAGTTGGTTAATTTTACCACAAGAAGACTAATTCTGGGTAATACACAAAGTTTTAGAAGATATGATGGTTGCACAAAATCGCAAAAGGAAATTTCAATTCTGACAACTGGACAATTTTTTTTCGAGTGAAGACATTTTGCAACTCATCCAAGCATCTAATTTAGTTCTGATCAAATTGCTGCTGAACACTGCCTTACATCTAATTCATTTTTTTTTTTTTTTATGGATTCCTATCTGGACTATTTCAGGATTACACAGATGATGGATGAACCCTGTTTTACATAAGATTATCAAGAAAATATAAAATATGTTTGCTGTTTTTATGGTCTTTATTCTGGGATTAGGTTAGGATTGCTCAGATTACTATGAAAGTTCTTTAACTGAACTACACTTTTAGTTACCATGTTATTAATATGCTAGAAAGTACATTAGACCAATATCGTCAAAATAGTAGATATGTATTGTCACAAGGATCAGATTACTAAACAAAATTGTGTTATATTGCTCAGCCCTACAATTTACATAGTTATAATTGTCTATAAAATCAGTATGAACTTTTATGTCATAAAAATGTTTATTAACACATGTGAAGGTCTTACCTGAAGCTGGGGAGGGGGAGCCAGGTGGGGAGGAGCCAGGCGGCGTGACTGAACCCTCCGTCCAGGTCGGCGTAGAGCTGGGCCACTTTCTCATCCAACATGCTGCGGATCTCTTTCCCATGGAGACAACTGCTGGCCGTGAGGATGATCAGCTCCGACAAAGCCTCGAACAGATCTGAAAACAGTTTAACATAAAGTCAGTTTGTTTTCCGATTTACTGCTAGCCTAATAAAGTATGAACAAAGATTTGAGCAATGAGCATGAGCAATAAATTATATTAAGACTCAGACTTACTAACGACTTGATTAAGGGGTTAGGAGTTGGGGCAAAATTGACTCTTGTGAGCTTTAGGCCATGTTATAATAATGTAAACTCCTAAAAAACATGAACTTGAAGTTGTGTTTTGTTCATTCACACATGTTTGAGTAACCCTGCATTACAAGATCTCCAAAGCTCAAAATGTGGAGTTTAAAAACACAATGGAGCACTTCCTGTACTACCATGTGAAAAAGGTGGAACAGAGTGTTTTCTGTTTGAGAAAAGCCTAAATATGCAGGATTCGTGTATTAAACATGTGTGAATGAAACAAAACACAACTCCAGATTTGTTTGTGATGAGAAACATTATAAGATAGATCAGAAAATAGCACAATATGGGTCCTTTAAGACGTGACTAAGCCTGACTCATTCTTAATAAATTATTTGTTCATTATGAATTAAATACATTTTTATTCAGGCTAATTATAAAGTATTATAAAGTGTTACCAAATACTATGTACTATTTACACCACTACTTCAAGTAATTTAGATTCCCCTCACAAACATTCAAATTAGCAATGGCCAGATGTATTGATCACAAACTGAATATAAATGAAGTGAAACCAATTTATGCTTTTCATTATATTTCATAAAAGTAAAAAAAAAAAAAAAAAAGAAAATAACTTACTTCCTTCTCCGCTATCCCCCCATCTCTTGAAATACTCGATCGTCTCTTCTTCTATTATCTTCACATGTTGTTTAAAATGAGCAATGTTCAGCCCAGTCTTCAGCAACTTCTTCTGCTCCAAAAACAACTGCAAAACAAAAAAATCTACCTTAACCCAAGGTTTGGAGTGTAAGCCAATAGTAAGGAGCATTTATGGACTTACAGCATTTGGGACATCATAGGCGACCCCTTTTCCAAACACTGGGGTTGTGAGTTTGGAGTAGACATCTTCGGCGTTCAGGTCCTCGTTCTTACTGTTGAACATGAGTGTAGCTGCCTCACTTCCCAGCAGGTATGTGAAGGTTTTCCCCACCATGGTAAAGCTGAAGACAGGCCCATACTGAGAGAGACAAGATAGTAGTTTTACTAATTATTAAATGTATTTTGTAGGGGTGCAAGAGACTAGAGCCTACAGCGGTCTTAGAGCTACGGGGTTTAGGTAGAATTTGCAGGAATAAACTTGTACAGACAACTATTTAAAATCACATGTAGTCACTTTATAGACAATTAAGAGTATTTTTAGTTAGTTAAAGTTGCATTATGCAGTTTTCCCCGTGGAAGTTCACCCACTTGTCTTCATAGAGATGTTAACTATCTGGAAAGTTGCACTGTATAGCATTTCATTTTTTTTATCTCCATGGAGACAAGCAGGTGACACCTCCAGGCCAAGGTACTGGTCAGACCTGTGGAGAGGCGAGCCTAGTCACAGTAATCCTTCGTGTTATCCGATGTATATTATTTAGCAATAAAAAAACGGCAAACTGTTTAATGCGATACAGTGGAATCTTCCAGGCAAAGCAATGACCTTACACACACATACACACTCCCAGAAAAGTTATACTGTCCTTTTACAAGCCCTATATTGATCTTAATTAACATTGTTGAATGATTGCGCCCTCCGGTGATTAATGTTAGGATGACCAGGTTGATTTCAGATTTCAGGCAAGGTAAATATATGGTAGGATTCTCGTGTAAGTCATAATATGAGGGACTTTTGCTGCTGCATTTTTTATTTATTTTTTGCTTTATGGTCATTTGCAAACACAGTTTTATGTATTTGGCTAAACAAATGACAATTTATGATCCCATTCACTGTTGGCAGCGATTAGATAAGTCAAGAATTGTGATAGTCCTGTTTTAGTCCTGGTTTAAACCTGATGTAGTCCTGGTTTAGTCTTAGTTTAGTCCTGGTTTAATTTTAGATTAGTCCTGGTTTAATCTTAGTTTAGTCCTGGTTTAGACCTGATGTAGTCCTGGTTTAGGCTTAGTTTAGTCCCAGTTTAGATCAAATTGGTCAAAAATAGAGACACCTGGGACATTTCTTGTATAAAACTGTGACAAGTCAGTGGTTTTATATAAATCTGTTGGGACAGGGGATACATGGCTCAAAACTGGGACAGCCCCGGGTAAATAGGGACGTCTGGTCACCTTAGGTAAATACAACTTTACAATCTCACCTTTTCATATGCATTTTCAAGGAATTCTATTGGACTTTTCCCAAATGAGATGGCATGTCCCAAAAACGGAAGTGCAGAGGGGATGTAAGGTGGATATTTCTGCAACAAATACACCGTAATCGTTAATTGAGACGTCTTTTTGCATAGAATATTAGATAAATGATGTGCATTTCTTACCTTATCTGTTTCAGTAGTCTTTTTGAGCAGCGTTTTGGAGATGTATCCGAGGGTCAGTGTAATTACAGAAACCGCTAACAATACGGAGGTCGCGTTACTGGTCATCTTTTCTACAGTATCTGAGAGCAATTTAGTGCTCATGTTATATAAATGGACAGACATGGTTTCTCCTACACGAAAGCTGTTACACTACAAAATTATAGACCCTTCGCTCCCCTCACAGTCGCCACACTGCCAACTTTTCCCAACAAAACCGTGCGTATATGGATCTATTATCTTCCGACTTTCTACCTGTCAGCAGTGATCCCGCCCCCGCCTGACAAATGCACGCCTCTGATTGGCTAAGGCTCCGGTGTCAGTCAAGTGAGCAACGTGTTGATTGGCTGCTGGCCCTGAACCCATGTCTGCTTATATGATGTCACTAATATTCACTGTATTGACTTTCGAGGTCCATTTCTTGGATCCATACATTATCTTTGAACTTCTATGTAAGGATAACCTACATGAATGAACTAGTTCTGAACGTTTTTACTATATTTGGACATTTTTCAGCTACAAAAACAAAATTTTTATATGCAAACCCCTTTTCATAACATTTATCAAAGAGCTGCAACTTTTTTTTTTTTTGCCTCTCACCTTTGTGGACAGCAAGAACGCTACCATTTTACAAGAACAACCCCTATCACCTAATTTGATTAATTAGTTTATTTATTATTTACTTGTTCCTGTCTGACCTGTCATGATTAATTACCTAACCATTTACCATTGCCAGTTTGTCTGTACACATAATTTTGCACACAAAAAAAAAAAAAACAATTCAAAAAATCTTGGCTACATCAGTTTATGCACATTTAAACATCTTAATTTACTGGCATTATAACATTATTATTATAACTAAATAATGTTATGCTTATTTCTTAGTGGAAAAAATAATACTGCATTAAATTACTAAAAGTTTAATAAGCTAAAATCTCACTCCTGTTTTTATATGTGCCAATAAATTGATTGTTTAAGTCTAATATTGTATAGCATATTTGCATTAAGTGTTTGTAAGTATGTAATAACTAATTAGTGTGTAATTTTTCCAATTAACAAGTATTGGGACATTTTATTCACAAATTGCTTCCCTTTATTTAAACAAAACATTAAATAAACATATTTACAAACGACAAAAATATATGTCTTGGTAAAACGTGAAAGATATGCTTGATATACAAAAGTAGGCAGTCCATCTTTGCTCTTCTTCATCCTAAATGTTATTGCAGTAAAAGAGGTGAATATAAAAAGAGCTGGTGTTTGGCAGCTGTGAAAGATTCTGGGGCAGATTAACCAAACGTGTATTTGTCTGAAGTCTGAACTTTATCATTTGGGGTCATTTGTCCACTGAGTTTCATTAAGAGTTTAACAATGAGGCCAGCCTGCAAAATAAGACAGAGTAAAATATATAATTTAGGTTCTAAGTAGTCTGGCAATTAACATTTTTCTTTATTTCCAACAGTAAAATAGGTATACAACATAAAAGTGTACATCAAAATGAAATAAAAGTAATAATAGCATAATATGGGATCCTGGTTAAGAACACCTTGAAAAATAATACCATACATACCTGTTTAGTGTGCACTATAAAGTTCATTTTGTTTTCTCCGCTGTGGATCTGAAAATACTGGTCGGCATGTCCCAGCTGCCACATGAAAGTGCCATATTCTAAACTGATCAGAAGGACCTAAGAGGGCAAAAGTTAGTTTAAGTCAACACAATTTGATCCATAAGTGAATTGTACTGTGTAAGTCATTAAAGGTCCTATTTTTATGCAAAATAGACTCATGTGAGCTTTTACCCAAGTCAGAATGCTGTTACCTTCTCAAAAGCATACCTGGAGTTCTGTTTTGTTTCATTCACACATGTTTGAGTAAATCTTTATTATTAATCTGTCTACAACTCCAACGCTCTAAACCCTCTGTTCCACTTTGTGATGTCATGACCTTAAATTGGCAATTCCAGGGCTGAAATTATTCACCTGATTCTAGTGAAGGTGTGTGGAGTTTAAAAGCACAGTGGAGCACTTCCTGTATTACCACATGACATCACAAAGTGGTATATTTTTTTCTGTCTGAGAGAAAAACTTAGCCTAAATATGCAGGGTTTGTGTGTTAAACATGTGTGAATGAAACAAAACACAACTACAGGTATGTTTTTGATGAGGAAACATATAACATTGATCAGAAAAGAGCGTAATATGGGCCCTTTAAATTTACATTACATTGAAAATAATGGTAAGGGTCATGGAGTCAATAATTTTGAATAATCATGAAATCATTATGTTTTTATGTTATTCCTAATACTTGCAGCAGCTCTAACCTTGGTCTCCATGTTCATGAGGTGCAGCCCCTTGGTGTTGACCCCCACATAAACGCGGATGCACTTGTGGCTGCTGGCGCTGGCCTTGGTGTAGACCTGCCCCGTGAAGAAAGCCGCTCCGTACGTGGGGATGTCCCAACAGTTCTGCAGGAAGAGCCTCTGCAGGTGGTGCATCTCTTTGCTCACTCCTTCACTCGTGCTAAGAGCCTGGAAATCAAAGGGATAATTATTTTTCGTTTAGCCCAGTAAAAATCACAATGTTTTGTTTGTTTTTTATCTGAAATGTTTCAATTGATAGTTTGCAGCTGATGACATCAACATTCCCTGGAGGTGTGACACTAACTGGGAGCACTACTCTATTAGAAGCTCTGTTACTCAAATTAGACTTTTTAACTACAATAGGAGAAATGCTTTTGGGGCTTCAGCAAGTCTCTCACATATAAAATTACAGTCACAAGCTAGCTCACATTTGCCAACAGTTTTTCAGTTTGTCACTCTTTCCTTTTTGTTGAAAACACCTAAACAAACCAGGATTGCTCATATTAATCACAGGCTCCTGACAATGTCTTGTTTAAATCCATTTTGTGTTTTGACTTTTCAGACTATCTTCATACTTTTTTTTGCTAATGTGTTCATTGTGTCACCATGGTAACTCCTGAACATTCCACCATTAAAGATACATGCAGAACACCCCTAGCACAATGTCACTGCAAAGTATCAAAACAAAATAAAACATATACACATTATTATCTACCTTGTATTCATGCAGAATCCTGTTGGTCCAATGATAGGCTTTGCTTTTAACTTTAGAAATCGGCACAATTGATTTTAGATTTTCCTCACTGAAAAAACATTTTAAATATGATTATGTCTTTGTAACTTTTGCTTTTAAATATGCATAATTTAATTTCATGAAAACGTAATTTACTTGAGGAAGCCCTGCTTGTGCTTCTTGCTTTCATAGTTGCCGTAGATGATTTGCAGCAGGAGACTGGCCAGTGTGATGAGTTTGCTGTCCGGAGCAGGATAAAACCCTTTTAAAAGACTGTGACGAGCCTCATCAAACAGAATAAGAATGGCCAATGGGTCCTCCACCTGTAAACAGAAAAGAAACAGGGTTAAGATAAAGACAGGAAATGCATTTTTGTATGTTTACATGCAAATTTAAGGACAAGCAACTAAAAAGGACAGTTATTCGTAGTGAGTAATTTTAGCTTTAAAGTATTGAAATCTATTTATTATTGAACATATATTTTGCATTTACTTTACAAACCCTTAATAGTCACTTTTTGTACTATTTCTGACACTAATATTATATCACTATTGTTAATAAGAATTGTTTTTATATTTTCTGAGCCCTTCCCTCAACTCAAATTTGGTCTTTGCCTTTCTTATACCTTTTTCTCTGCATCCAGTGGCAGTCGGACATCGCGGCGGAGGAAGAGCTGAGGGGTTTCTCTTTGGGGGTCAAGCACCGTGAGGTCGTTCACAATCTCGCTCCAGATTCGGAGGTGCTGCAGAGGCTTGTGGTACGGCTTTAACTGCAGGTCTGAAGCATAAACACACGACAGTCATCCAACAAAAGCAGATATGTCTAACTTAAAGATGTACTGCGTAACTTTTCTGGTGAAGAGCACACCACACGCTTGTCTCCATGGAGATGTTATTCCTTTGTTAATATTTTGCTTTGAGACAGATAGACTTTTTAATGTCTGGAAGTAAAACCAACTTTGAAACATTCCTTATGGCAATGCATTTTATGAATGTTCCAGGCCAAGCAAAAACATCTCCATGGACACAGGCAAGCACTAGAGAAGTTACAAGTCAGGTCAATGGATACAGGGCCACTCACGGCAATTATGTATGATATTTCCTATGCGCAATATGCCTACATACTACTTATATTGTATAGCCCTATATAGGTCTGTCACAATAACAAATTCTGGAGCATAATATAATTGGTACAGTTAGTGTGTTATACTGCGATAAAATAATATTTTGAAACTGTTTTATGCCACTGACACAAAAACAATTATGAAAGATAAACCATTTTAAGTAAACAATATCATTCAAAAGGCCTGAGCTCCAACAAATAAATAGCAATAATTAGCCACAAAAGTCTCATTTTAGACTCTCTGAAACTCAAAACTTTTCATATTACATCAAAAACAACAAAAATCTCCCCACTACTGCAATGAAACTGTACAAACTGTACAAACTGTATAAATACTGATCCCCAAAATACATAGTTCCCGCTATCATATACTGAATGATAAGTCGATATAGTAATTATCGTGACAGACCTAGCCCTCTATACATTGAACAGACTTACGCAGATTCTCGGAGCAGATCCAGATGGTGAAGTACTGCTGAGTTTCCTGGGAGAGCCTCATTCCCTCCATGATCTGCTGCACTGTGGTGTTATTCCCATGTTTGAGCTCCACAGATCGATAAGAGCCGTCCATGCGATAGATGCGCACCTTCTCATACTATAGGAAGAGTTTATAATGTCAATAAATAAAAAACACAACATTTATTGTATTTATATTAATACATCTTACAAACTAATTCAATTTAAAACTTAATATTTGGGAGTGACATGAGAAAAGTTGCAAAAAATAGTGCTTGATTATTGATAAAAGTTAAAAACAGCTCCACCTAGTGACTGACATATTAAATGCAACTGTAAGTATATCAATTGTTTATCTCATATCTCACAATTTTGCAAGATGATTTTGAGGTAGTTGTATGTAAACATAATGTCATATTATCAATAATAGATGTATATAATTGCACACCTAAAAAACAAATATATATTATTATATAGAGAAAGACCGTAGGATTTGGTGATACCTTGCCTTAACCAAATCCATGCATAAAGATAATTAATAATGTTATGTGATTCCCAAAATTAGTGTAATTTTGAATGGCT